TACTACAGAAGGATTTTGAAAATCATTTAAGAACTTTCGGTTAGAATGGTTATAGAGCCCTGTTTCCAGGAAACCTTTAGAGAAAGAAATTCCTTCTTACGCGGGAACTGTTTGAAAATTACAGTAGTGCCTAAAACTAATTACTAGAAGTATAATATTAAATTTTTAAATTCGGAAACTGTTTTAGAATTTAATCTATTTGCATTTATTTGAAGGAATTTAAGTAATCTCTAGTTAATGATTTAATTAAAAACTCTTAATTCTTTTAATTTTGAATTTTAAATAATTCATATTAAAATTTATTTTCAATAAAACTACTATTCTTAATCATATTTCAATTTAATTTCAATTAAATTATTTTGGAATTTAATTTATTAATTTTGTTTATATAAGCAAAATAGAATAAATTTCCTTGCATTTCTAGATTTTTAATGTTTCTGTTCTTAATTAATTTAATCCTTTGCTTACTATGTAGAGTCATTAGGTATTTTTGGAAGCCGGAGAGATGAAAAGTTAGCAACCGCCTTCGCCGGGAATCGAACCACGGATCTCTGGAATACCGGCCCAGCGTGCTACCTATACACCACGAAGGCACGTTAGGAAAGTGGAAGAAATACCTTATAACTAATTAATTTTTACTTCCTTGTACGAAGTAAAGGACTTATTGTAACCACGAAAATTTCGTGTATCATATTTCAACGGAAATACCCATTTTGACCGTTCTCGAACCCATTTGGACAATTTTTTTTCGCGTAACGTCTGTACGTACGTACAAATAAGGTATTCTATTTTCCAAAACGGATTGTATAATCGAATTAAAAGAGACTTTTTTCGTGAAGCTTGTATGTACGTACGATTATATGTAAAGCATAACTCAAAAAACGATCAGAACGCTGAATTTTTGTATATGGGACTGTTATAACATCTAATTGTGCGCCTCCCTTTTGTATTGTAATCCTCGGTATCAAACGTGTATATACATGTAAGCATTGTGATCAGCAGTACTAAACGTGTGTGTATATGGATATATATATATATAAGCCCACCCCCTTACCCAGCTTAAAAGTCCTTATCCGGTCTTTATTTTCGCAGTCGTTGGTTGGAGTCATAGACTTCCGGTAACAGAAATGTTTTAAATGAGGAAAGTATTTATGTTTTGGCAATGTTAAATTTAAAAAAAAAATGTTTTTTTTTCCGACGGATAACGAAATCTAACTTTAAATGCGGTCTCCCGGCTGTTCCAAAATTTATATTTGGGAAAGTTTTAGACTTGTTACGAAAACATTAAGTTATAAGAAGTGTGACTCCCGTACAACAAAAATTGACCGGTATATTTAATTTCAAAGGTTGCAATTTTTTATGTCATTTTCAACTTGCCTTGATCGGTTATTCAACTTAGGATAATTCGCGGAAATAAGTTTAAATGAAGCGCTGCAAAAATATTCATAATTTAACATGCCTTACAAGGATGTTTTGTACACATTAGATATTTTAATTTTTTAAAAGCACTTATGCTGTTTTGACTGTTCAATCAAATGCAAATGATAACTTAGATAGTATCTTAAACTCTTAAATATTTCTTTGGGAATATTTTTCAGCAATTTAATGGCGGGAAATTTTCAAATTGTTTACAGCCCCATTCATAAATGGTAACAGTTCTTCGTTCTTTTCACTTTCCACCAAATATTTGTTACTTTTGCCATTTGTCTTTCATAGCTGAATCTGTGCCGAATGTAACGTCATTATATCTATTTTCAGAATCATTAAAACTTTTAAACTGAAATTTGTTTTCTTTGCAATGTTTTCCGGTCTTTAACATTAAGGTCACACTTTCGCTCTCAGAAAATTTTACTTTAAACAGCAGGAAAAAGTCATCGCTGTTCTAAAAAACAAGGTTGATATTTCAGTTCAAGTGCATTCAGAAAGAAATTCTTTGAAAGGATAAAAAAAAAAGAGACAGAGAAATCTATTTTTAAAAGGAAGGAAAAGTTTTCCGAAATATTTTGAGATAAAATGCTTTGTGTGAGAGGATTTAACATTATCGAAAAAAAAGAAAGTATTTGGGAGTTTGTGAGATAAACGTTTTAAGCAGGAAAGCATTTCAAACAGGTTTTATTATAACCTTTCCTCAAATATCTATTTATAGGCATTAAATGGAAAGTGAAGGTCAATAACAGATTATCTGCATTAAATTTCGATAAGGTCTTAAAAACCTTTGGGTTAAATAAACTGCGTACTGTATAATTTTATAGACAATAATTTCGCATATTTCTAGAAGTGAAAATGTGAATTGTGTTTTACATAATACTTCTTTCCTTGTAAAATATTTCGTCCTATAAAATGGAATGCATAATTTTTTTTTCATTGGTTTTTATTTTAAATCCTAGTAGGGGGAAAAATCGAAATAATTCTAAGAATTACACTGATTAAGTAACACTGTAATTAACAACATTTCATTAAAAAATTTAATAAAACTTTTATGAAAACATCATGTTAATGCAAATAATAATAAACAAATAGTGAAAATTAATATTCAAAAGAGAAAAGATCGCCCATTTAAACCATTTCAATTTTGTTTTTCAAATTGGACGACAGCTCTCTCAGTTCGATAATTAAGTGGAATGCTGATAATTCTACGTGAATTTTAAATTAACGTTTTCTAAAGGACTGATGCATTCTGCTCTTCGTATTGTCCTATATAGCTCTTGATTAGTTTAGTTATTTGAATATGGCAAAATACGCGAGGAGTATCTGCCTAAGATAAGGTGTGTGTGTGTGTGATTATGGCAAAGCCTCGAGGACTATCTGCCTACGGGTAGGAATGCCTTCGTGGAGGACTTTCTAAGGGAAACTGGCTCGTATGCACGTTACACATGGTGAAAACCACGAAAACGCCCATGCAACCCAGCCCGTTCGCGGGATTCGAACCTTGGACCGAACTACCAGTGTTCAGCGTCTTTACCGCTCGGCCGCTGGTGGGCCGCCTAAGATAAGGAATACCTCCGAGGAGAATGTAATCCGGAAAGATTTCCGGTATCATATTTCAACAGAAGTAGCCATATTCACCTTTCCTGTTTGGACTTCTTTTTTGTGTGATGTCATTTTGCGTGTACGCAAATAATAAAGAACTCTTTTTTTTTTTTTTTTTTTTTTTTTTTTTTTTTTTCAAAATGGATTGTAAAGTGGATTAAAAAGGAATTTTTTCGCGAAGTCTGTACGTGCCCATGTATCTCGCCTAACTCAGAAACGATCAGAAGGTTGAAATCTTGTATATGCGATTGCTGTAACATTTAATTGTGCACCTCCTTTTTTATTGCAGTCGGCAGTACGTTACACACACTCTTATCCGGCCTTTTCTTTCCGCAATCGTTGGTATAGTCATTTCGGAATGCAGAACTGTTTTAAATTACGAAAATATTCATTCTTTGGCATTGTCAAATTAAAAAAAAATATTTTGTACAAATAACGAAATCTAAATTTTAATGCCGTCTTCAGCTTCCTATACTTATATTTGAGAAATTTTTATATTTGTTATGAAAAAATAAAATTGTAAAAGTTTGAACTCCTGTACGACAAAATTTGACCGGGATATTTTATTTCAAAATTTGCAACTTTTTATGTCAGTTTCAACTTGCTTTTAGGGCTGTAAGTTTATTTAATTTTAGTTATATTTGTCTGGAGTTAATCCTCTATAGTCAATCCTTATATGGTATCAGTGCTGTTTCTGCAAACTTTGCTGCTTCAGATTGAAGTGAAATGGCAGCAATCGCATCAAAGAGCTTCCAATCATCTCTCACATCCTCTTTGCTTTTGTCTAAGGCTTCAGTTCAAGAATCATAAAGTAAAACAATAAAAAGGCACACCGTTCTCGCTTAGCTGGAACATCTTCTAGGTCAAGTCTTTGTCAGTTTCAACTATGACAAACGCCCGGCAATTAATTTATCCTCGCTCCCTACCCCATTTCCTGCGAGCCTCTCTCAAACTCGGTGTTCCGATTGGGTGGTTTTTGACCAACACGTTGTGACGTCACGCAGAGTGATGTCACCGAATGACCAGTCAGCTTTATACTATGAAATATCGTTATTTTTTTTATCGCTGGGAAAAGTCTTCTGCAAACCTGACGGTTCCCGCTCAAATTTCAGAGTTGTTTACCTCTGCGATGACAGTATTGCAGACTAGAAAGCATTATACTGCTGGCGACAACGGTGCTTTACGCTTCGTAATTTGCATTTGCTTCGTAATTTGCTCAATGCATTTGAATACAATTTTGATCTCGGAAACATTTGTCTTTTAGCATCTTCACATTTCTTGTGCTATAACAGGAGCATATTATAACCATACGATATATGAAAAAAAAAAAAAAAAAAAAAGATAATTCTACGTACTGGATTTTTATTTAGAATGTTAGTCATGTGATACTGCTGAAATAATATTATAGAAAGAGTTCGCTGTTTTTACGGATTAGCCAGTGTAAATAGCAAATGAACATAAATTTGTGTGAATTTTTAACTGGAAGCTGAAATGACATTCAGATTGTGCTTTTGCATGGAGAGCTATTTGAGAACCTGACAGAATAAAGGTAAAGTCTTTTGTTTAAGTTTTAATTTCAGACAACCCATTGAGAAACTTACAGAATAAAAGTAAAAGACTTTTGCTAAAGTTTTAATTTGATATTTAACTTTGTTCGAAAATTATTTGGTTTCATTACTATCGTATGAGATTAATGTTTTTAAAATTATTCAGATATGTTTATGCTTGCTTATTAATCTACCTAGTTATATTTTTCACTCCTATCATTGATTTTCTTTTATATTCTTAACCTTTCATAATATAATTAGTTACTAAACAAATAAGAAATATATACAGAGAGAATATCAAACTTAGAAGACTGATCAATATACTTACTTCAGGAGAACATAATATCGTTTTCAAATGTTTCAAAATATGTTATTAATGTTATAGCAAAAGAATGATTAAAGCTTTTTTTTATTACCAGGTGCAAAAGAACTGTGCATGGCATGTTTAAGATGTTGGATAAAAATTACATGTAAAGTAAATACTCGTCCTCTTCTGTACATTTTCAAAATCTTATACTGTAACATTTCCACCAATTTTTTCTTCAAAATACTGTTTATTTCTCGTGGTTAAATTCATAGTGTACCGTACTACATGCGAGTTTGATATTCATCAGGGTCATCTGAAGGGCTTTAAGGAAAAGTAGTGTTTTAATAACAGCCATGAATCCAGATGTAAAATATACTTGAATGGTGAGCTTGAAGCTATTTTATGCAGGGCATACGAACAAATTTCGAGCACATTCAATTCTATCATCATAAGTATTTATGGAAAACAAACATTACATTCCTACTATTAAATAATAAAGAATCTGTATATATGTATGATATATGTATGTGTTCCTCACATTGTAGAAAGACGGCGGCATTTAAAGCCACCATGTTTTGAACACACATAGTCCTCCACTTGAACATATAAACCTCGAACCTCGAAATTTGAATTCCGAATTTATTTCTTATTTAATTTATGTTAAATACGAACTTGATGAAATTTTAATAAAAAATTTCGGTGATTTAAAAGCAATGTGTTGCCATTCGTTCCTACTATTAAATAATAACATTACATTCCTACTATTAAATAATAAAGAATCTGTATATATGTATGATATATGTATGTGTTCCTCACATTGTAGAAAGACGGCGGCATTTAAAGCCACCATGTTTTGAACACACATAGTCCTCCACTTGAACATATAAACCTCAAACCTCGAAATTTGAATTCCGAATTTATTTCTTATTTAATTTATGTTAAATACGAACTTGATGAAATTTTAATAAAAAATTTCGGTGATTTAAAAGCAATGTGTTGCCATTCGTCAAAGCCTTAGATACTTACGTTTTAAGTTTAACCAGAAAACTCAGCAGCTTAAAAGAAATATGTCGCTATTTCCTAATATAAAGTATTTTTATGTTCCATCCATCAATAGGCCCACCAGCGGCCGAGCGGTAAAGTCGCTGAACACTGGTAGTTAAGTCCGAGTTTCGAATCCCGCGAACGGGCTGGCTGCATGGGTGTTTTCGTGGTTTTCCCCATGTGTAACGTGTATACGAGCCAGTTTCCCTTAGAAAGTCCTCCACGAAGGCATCTCTCCCATTAGGCAGATAGCCCTAGTGTGCTTTGCCATAATTAAATACACCACTTCCATCCATCAGGGTGTTGCCATTCGATAAAGTGTAATATATTTAATCTGTTTGTTATCGATTAAAAAAATACAAAAAATTAAAAGCAATAAACGTAGTTCTTTTTCTTTATTATTATTAACTACTAGTTAGTCTTGTTAAAATCATAGTATATTTTTTCTTTTTTTTTTCATAATATTTTAGGCGGCTGGCCGCGTAAGCGGGTAGTTTCATAAAAACGTGGTATGAAAATTAGTTGTTCTATCTGTAACTGCGAATAATTATTTTCAGAATAAAACTCAGAAATATCTCCTCTTTTTTTAAAATAAAAAATATGTAATTTGTCATATCAGCATATTATTTGTTATTTTAATGCTCCGGTTACATTTTTCAAATAAAAATAAAACTCTTAATACTCAAGAAATTAGTCATTATTTTATAAATCTTTTGCAACTACTGTTTTTATTTCATGAAATTTTAATTTTTCATTTCAGAGAAACAAACATTTGATGGAGGGGATTGTTTCTCCTATCAGCGCATTAGGAACAATAAAAGGTAAACAAAAAATATTTCCTTTATATTCAAGTTTCTATATATACATATATGGGTGTGTGTGTTTGTGTTTTTGATGATAAGATTTAGTTCCTTGCAGTAAATTAATGAGAGATGAGTGCTTGACTAGGGAAGACATTATTTTGCAGTCGCGAGTGGATTGAGGATTAGAATATCACTGAAAATATCAATTACATAGCAGAAGATGCCGGGAGTTTCTGAAGAATCTCAAAATCACTTGACATTCCACATATACCTTTATTACTTTTTGCACTTCACAATGGGCCCAATCTGCACCCCAAAATGTTTGCTGATGGCGCATTACATTTTTAACAAAAGCAGCCAAGCAAGAGACGCCCTTTAGATAGCAAACTTAAGCACAGAAAAAGGTAGGGTAGTTGGGTTGCAACAGTATTTACGGTAAAAGTTTCGTTAATCTCATTAGCTAAAACTTATAGGCAGTGCAGAAGTTTTAAGATGACGTAATGCGAAATTAGTTTTCTGATATGACGCTGTTTAGAGAAAGTTATTGCTAGAGATTAAGTACCTAAATTAAAAATGAGCAATTAAAAGGTATTTAAAAGTATAATTTGGATTGCATATTTTTTATCTTAGATATATACCATGTTATAAGTATACATAAAATATAGCAGTTTTTAAGCTACTTATATATTGTTTCATGTGGTTTGTTCGATTATAACAAAGCATTCGACGGCTGTATTCCTAAAGGCAAGGATGCCTCGGTGGAGGACTTTCTAAGCAAAACTGACTCGTACGAGTCAGTTTATACCTGAGGAAAACCACGAAAATGCTAATACAACCATCCCATTCGCCGGAATTAGAACACGGGATCGACCTGCCCGCATTTCAACGACTTTACCGCTCAACCGCTAGTGAGCCACACATATACATCCACATTAAATTATTAAATTACGTTTAAATGTCGTTTATAAAGTGTAATTCAGAATGCAATTTAATCATACCGAGTTATAAAATACTCTACGAAATTACTTCGCTTTGCAGACTTTTTGTAACCTTCATCATATATTTCTTAAAGAGAATCTCAATGCTAATTCCTTTTCCAAGCCGTTTATGTATCGTATTTTTTCTGCTCTGAATTATATTTAGAGAATTATTTCACATGATTATAGCTGAAAATGCAGTTTTACTAATAAAGAATTTAAGGATAAGAAGAGATGACCTTTTATAAGTCCTTTTCTAATTATTTTTGAAGCATTTATATTTTAAAAAAATGGCACATTAATAAGAATCATTGAACTAAGGTGCTGGATAGAGGACAGATTAATTAGCTAACAAATTTTAATTTTATTGAGTAAAAATAAACTCATCTGCATTATTTCTATAAGAAAGTAATCATTCCAGAAATAATTCTATTCTCGCAGTCGTAATATTTTTCTTAAATATTTAACTGATGCATATTCAACTATTCCAGTCCATTATGATAAATAATAAATCAATATAGTATATAAATAATTAAAGAAAAATTAAACGGAATGTTAATTAATTTTAATTGTCATTTTCCTTTTAATAAACCCCTCTTCAGTTCAGTAGCAGTCGATCAGCTTTTGTCGGGATTCATTTGAACCCAGGATGTTATTATTTGCTGATGAGAATAGGTAAGAAGCTTAAAGACAATAAATTCTAGTATTTAGTTGAAGAAAAAATATTTATGTATCCAAATGTTTCAAGCCATATTGCATACATATAGAAATGCTTATTTTTGTAATTACAGATACACATATGTTATTCCCTTCGTTAATTTTCAAGACATATATTTATATTCGTAATTATAAACCTTTTGAAAGGAGCATCATATTTTAGAATTATTATTTAGAAATGTGTTTATAGTGACTTTTATATTTACGAAAGATATTTCCCTCTTTACTCAGGCTCATTGTATTCAAGTCGATAGGACCAATGAATGGAAAGATAGATTTGTTAATTGATTTCTAGTTTCAAAGCGGATGAATGGACCTGCAGTGAGCTAGAGTATGCTATGAAAATTTGAACACGGGATTCGTATTTTATCTTATATGTATCAGATTCAAACAAAATAAAGTATCAGATTCTACTTAAATGTTTCACTGCTTAGAAAAATAGAAAAAAACAAATATTTGTAAATAAAAAGAAAATATTTAAAAAAATATTTAACTTAAATTTACAAAAATATAATAATTACAAAATATTGCAGAAACTACATAAAATAGCGAATAAACTTATTCGGAACAAGCTCGCTAAATGTAAAATAGTAGATTGTGCAGCCAGAAAGCTCTCTTTATCACAGAAATATACTGTTTATGGCGTTTAAAGTTTATATTCATACTAACGTGCGAAATTCAGTGATTAACATGTATTTTCCTTTGAATGAATCAACTAGCCAAAAAAGGCGGGGACTTGAAAATTAAATGCAAATTTAACGAATGGATTGAACGAGTCCTCCTACAACCTACCACTGCGTGTAAGCATTTTCGTGGATTTCCTTAAGGTAATGTAAATGAGTCCATTTTTCCTAGAAAATTCTCCATTAAACCATGCCTAGCCAACCCCCATATGCTTTGCCATATTAAATTAAATAAGCACACAAAATCTTTCTTAAGATCAATAAATAATTAATTTCATGTTAAATAAGATGAAGCTTTTCAAAAACTAGAATACCTTCCGTAAATAATTAGCGCTAATTAGTGCTGTTCACCTGTAATTGGATTGGATTTTTTATTTATAGCAGTGCTTATCAGCCTCGTGATTTACATGTATGTATTGCTCAGGGTGGGAAAGAAAATTCTTAGACGAAAATAATGTAACAATGAAATGTTAATAAAGAAATAAATATAATCATTAAATTCATTTGATAATTATAATTTAATTTTCAAGTATAAGGAGATATATGTTATTAATAATTCAAAAATATGCATATTGATATTATTATACTGTTTAATAATACATAATAGAGCACTTCAAAACTTTCCGCCTCCTATATAGTAATTTGTCTCTTTTTTGGTACCATGTATATCCTTGTATACATTACTGACTTACAGTGACCAACAAACGAGAACTCTACCTCTATTCACGTTTTTATTCCTGATATAGTGATACAGAGTGAGACCTAAACATACTTTTCTTTTACAATATATCTCCTTTTATGATTCCTAACGCACCCGTTTATTTTGCCCTTCGTAATTAGTGTCATTCTCCCATTCTTGACCGCATTTGCAACGCCACCGCTTGGATACCTTTCGTCGCACCACTTTTCCCTTTCCTCTTTTTCCATTTTCGTTCCTTCTAGAAAAGTTCTTCTTCTCTTTGCGGGGAAAGGGGGTTGCCGGAAAGTATACTGTCGGAGGTCACGTGCTTTGGTGTGGCTGAATTCAGATTTCTCAGCGTTAAGGCCGTTAAATTCCGTACAGAAGGTTGCCTTCCACATTCATTATACATGAAAATTTCTGCTAGCTTTTAATGTATCTGATTTTAGTTTGGATGTATATTAGAAGAAAAGGAATCAAGGTACAAAATGGAATTTTTAATTAAAATCAAGAAAATATCACTTATTCATGATATTTTGCGGAACTTTGAAATTTCAGGGCTAAACCCGCAACGCTCAGAGGGTTAATTGACGTGGGGGGCGAGTGGTGCTCAGATAGGTACATTGGAGAATAGCGAAAGATTTTGAAAAAGAGGACTTTTTCAAAATTTTCAGCACTTCAAAACTTAATGCTTTTGGACTTAATTCTGGTAGGAGCTGAAATTTACCTGGCAGCAAGTTTTCAGTGGAAAATGTTTCAGTCACAGTTTCTCTGTGTTTTCTCTTGCAGAGAGTTTCCCTAGCGGGACGTGATTCTTCCATGGAGATGATGTCTCGCGTAGCTAATAGCGTGTTTATTTTTCTGGATTCTGCGCCATAGTAAGGAAAAACTTGTGTTAACTTTGTTGAGACTGGATACACGTCTGCTAATTTTCACTGCACGAAATTCTCCATGATTTTTTTTTTTTCGATGTTAAGTGCGGTGAGATCCGAACCGGGAGGAGAAACGAAGCCTGGAAATAAAAAGTGAGCGATCGATCCTACCTGTTGATGCTGACTATACTTCCGTGATAATTCCGGAACGTGAATTAGTTCTTCTACGCCATTGGGTGATTGCCTGGAATTGATGTTATTCACAGTAGAAGAAATTAAGATTCCTTCTAGAAACATGGAGGACTCTAGAGCTTGGACGAATACACAAATATGGATAAATTTATTTTTACTTTCCTTTTCTTTCAGTTATAGAAATGACCCTCACGTACTATTTATTAGTTTCTAAACGGATATATTTTTATACGAGAATTATTTCGGCTTTTTGCGCTTAAACAAACAAACAAAAGTGAGACTAATAGTTAACAAACTAGAATGCGCGAGGTTGTTTACCTGTCCCTGGTTTTACTTTCGAAGTATGACTAAATTCTTTGTATTAATGTGTGTTCACTGTGTATTTTGCGTTTGTTAAAACCTGTATCTAAACGACAGTATGTGAAAATAACCTACTTTCTTTCATTCATTTGGGTATAAATTTCTACGTAGGTAGGAGTAACGTTAATACACTCTTTTGCAAAAAATCGAAGCACCAAGAAGGACTTTTGCGATCGTGACGAAATTTGGTAATCAAAAACATCTTGCTCGAAATGCAAATGATCAAAGTTCCAAAGTAATTGAACAAGAATTGCGATAATAGCGCGCATTTTTAGTCCCGAGTTCGAAAAGTATAAAACCAGTAACAGAGGGGAAAACATTTCTTTTTTGTTGCTGCCATTGTAATTCCGTAAAGAAGCAACTAAAGATGCCATTACGACGATATCAAAGATCTTACAGACAACTAAACGACGTGGTCGCATTGTAGGATTGCGTGAAGCTGGGTGGTTATACCGAGCAGTAGGCCGCCACCTATTATAGCGTACAGATACTGCTGTTCAAAAGTGTTGGCAGCAATGGTTACTACAAGGAAATTGCCCGATGAAATGAAGGCTTCTGGAAGGCCAAGGATCACAAATGTGAAGCAAGTTAGGATGATTGTTCGCCAGGCCCAAACCGTCCCAACGGTATCATTGTCGATTATTCAACACACTACAGCCACGTCTATACCTCCCGTGGTACCGTCTACCATCTCACGGTACTTGTCTGAGGCGGGATTACGCTCACAGCGGATGTTTGGCTTTCACCCCACAACATCGGCGGAGTCGTCTGGAGTGGAGTCGCAGCCGATCATCGTGGCTGCCATCAGACTGGCATCGTATAGCATTCAGCGATGAATCCCGCTTCACTCTTGAAGCAGATGACCACCGTGTTCGTGTCTGGAGAGGACGGAGCCAGCGGTCCGAATCAGCCTTTGTCTTACAAAGGCATACAGCCTTAACCCCTGGTGTGGGGCGATATTTCTTATGACAGCGGGTCATCTTTAGTCATCCTCCGTACATATGTAACAGCTCAGCGATATGTTGATCCCATCCTGCGACCGCTTGCATTACCCTTCATGGCACGTCATTCTGGGGCCATTTTCCAACAAGATAATGCCAGGCCACCTACTGCTCGCATATCTCTGGACTGTCTCCGTGCCGTTGATTGTCTTCCTTGGCCACCAAGTTCACCAGACCTTTCACCAATCGAGCAGATCTGGAGCTACAACTGATGAATGCCTGGCAGAATATGTAGCAGGATGACATTAGGAACCTCTACCACTCCTTGCCTCGACGAATTCAAGCATGCATTGCGGCCAGGCGCGTTTCGACCAACTACTAATTTGAACACAGAATGGGTGATTCTAAGCCGTGAACAGGTACTATTATGACCTTGGTTTTTTAATCATTTTATTATCTGTGTATGAGCTATACACATATTCAATTTCATCAAAAACAACCACTTTCTTCACGGTGCTTCGAGTTTTTGCAAAAAAGTTTAGATTATCTTCCTTCGCCTGCTTCGGATGAGGATTTGACTATATTTCCATTTTTCTCCCGAAAGACTAAGGTAACGTCTGTTTTTATCTGAAATAAGAAAAAATTATTTCCTTTAGGTTAATTAGCTGTCTAATAAAAATTGTAATTCTATAACTTATGTTTATTTCTAGAAAATGGTACGGCCGTACAGGAATTGGAAATATTTTTAACTGTAGGTTTAAGGAAATGGAAAGAAGAAAGATGATTGTACCTGAATTTATATTTTATCTGGCCGTCTAAATGCTGTATTAATCATCACTACGAATGTGTAATTTCTGTAGAGTATTTGTTGTAATTTGCTGAACCAAGAGGGAAAATAAAACATGATAGTTAAATAGTAATCTGAGCCTGTCATTTTTCGATAATATTATTTTTCTATTTATTTTATTATTTGTAATGAATTTATTTTCTACGCTTGCCACAAGGTTTAATAAATATATCTGAATGCCTGATCAAAATGTGTATCTAACCATTCAAATGGCGCAAACCCGAAAACAAAAAATATACACATACAAAAGCAATCTTAACTGCTATTCGACCTGTCTCAGAGGTTGAACTAAGGTAGAAGTTCTCTGTCACTGTAATTCTAGTTTTGCTAGTTTAGAGGACAGAAGGCTTACAATACAACACGAGAATAGCCGCCCAACCGGTATATTGTTAGTGACGCTGACTGCCTATCAATGGACTCTGGTTCGAATCTCGGAGAAGGAATAGATGTGTGTAAGCGAATAGTGACTGTGCAGCAAGGGGGCACTCAAAATACACGGCGAGCCGAAAGTCCTCGCCTTCGATTGGTTGTAGGGGAATAGGTATGGGAGACTCTTGGACTGTCCACCCGAGGTATGTTTCCTCAAAATTAGGGTGGAACTGCGCAGCGAGACTACATCTGTGAGATCACCTGTGTGCCACACACTTCTACCTATATCCGATACGAGAATATCGTTACCCTTCAGTGCATCCAATTCGTACCTTACTAAATCTGAAATAATTTAATTTTACGCTCCGGCCATTCACATATCCTCGCTCCGGCCATATTTGATCACTTCTTGATCCTAAGTGTTATTTAAACTACATATTTGATATTAAAGTATTTGACTCTAAATAAATTGCTTAGATAGAAAGTGCTTCTAATTGATGAATACTTTGCTGTAAACTCCTCAAATTTAAAGTCTTTCCTTCCATCTTAATTTTTGATTTACTTCAACATTTAATAAAATTTGGTTGAATGTATTCTGCGAAATCGTCTACAATTACTAATTATATATTTAAAAGTATTAATAATTATTCTTTATTTAATCTATGGTTGGAAATTAAACTCTGTTAAATGATTTTAACTAACAACTTATTTGAAATGGTTGAAAAAAAATATGAACAGAAATTTTGTTTGAATGATAGAATATGATGCAATTACCGAAGTCATATACATTTTGACTTCCTGTGACGAAAATGATTCCATAAACTAATCAATCCGCTTTTAATTCATTACCTCTGATATTGCTTAAAAGTGCGTATGATAATTTCATATCGCATGGTTATTAATTTATGATATATTTTTCAGCACTTCCAAGGCAAGATGACAGCCGAACATCAAATGGAAACATTCGAACTTTCTCTCCTTTGGGGAAAAAAGATTCCCTAACACCTGATGGACCAAATCCAGCTCTTCCGATTACACAAGTAAGGCGCATGCAGGTTTACGGTTTAAAACAGTAATTTTTTCTCATATTCTGTGGTAACTTGGTAAATGAGCTTACGTTTGATCAAATTAGTGGCACCATTTGTGTTATGAGCTGGTAGCGCCGAATTTCCGTCATCATTTAGCATCAGACTACGGATTATGGGCGACCGCTTCGTCACAATTTATTTAAATCGACCACTGGTGGCCTACACAAACACCTTCATAAGATTTCTCCCAATATAAAGATGACTGCATCCGTATGAAGATCAGTTTTTAATTTGAAGATAATACCTGCTGTAAAGATACATGGGTGTCTTTATGCTAGAATAGCGCTAAGCAAGAAAATTTAAAATTTTTTTATTCTAATTAATAAAGCTAATAAAAATTGTGCTTGCATAGCGGTAGCCGAATATAAAGTTGTTCACAAACTTGCAAAGATTCCCTTCTTCGATATCAAAACTGATATCCTTAACGTTTCGGGTATCTGTATAGTGAGGCATCCTTGCGAAGGTTTCTGACTTTGAGAACATTAGCAGAACTCGATAAAAGTGAACCCACCTTTAAAATGCGGCACTATTAGGAAAGTATTCCAGAACATTTGGGTTCGAAAATACTGTGACATAGCAATAAGGGCGCAAGAGAGCAGTGAATAATGCAGTTAGTAGAGTTTTAGATATTAGCAGACAAAGCTGAAATGTCTGTCCTGTAGTATTGTAAAGAACTCAGAATTATTAGATTTTGCATAATGCATAGAGTTTTCTTTAACATACAGGTAAAGTTTATGTTTCAATTATATGCATTCATTTCAACCAAAATTTGATAGAAAATGATGTATAGAAAATTATTTTACAACGATTTTTCTTTATTTCAATTCATACTCGTTAGGACCTAATTGCTATATAGGCCCAAGAAATCGGTCTCATTAGGGATTTTAGAGAACTCCAGAATCATTCCATGGTTATTCTAACGCTGTTTTTTCCTACCAAAAACAATATAAACCGTCATTAGGAGGCTTCTAAAGAATGCTAGATGTTCCAGATTGAATATAATCCTGTCCTGGTATTCACCAATTGCAAGTCTGGAAGCATTGCTAGTTTACTTCTGTTTCCCTGCAGTTGATCGGGCTGGGTGCTTAGAGGTTTCGTTTATTTCCCCATATATAAAGTAAATATAGCATGTTCTCCTTAGAAGTTCCCATTCGGACTAATATCCTTAGGGCATCCTCGCCCTCCGTCATCACTTTTGCCGTAATGAACCAAAGCCAGTCAATAATTAATAAATCAACGTTTAGAGTATATAATATCTTTTGATAGAAGATTCAAATTTTTCAGCAGTCTTTATTATTGAATAATTTGTAGATTTCACCTTCTCAAGAAGCATAAACTAAATCGAGATTCAAGTTAGATTTTAAACGACTTATCTCTATGTCCAGTAAGAAGGCAGAGAATGTTAGAAGTGACTAAAAGATCCTTTTATTAAGAAATCAAACTATTTAACAGAATGCACTCCTTGTGCTTACAAATCAGCCAGCATTTATGGCGTAACTGAAAATATTGAATTTAAACCTAAAATAAGTCGCAAATTAGCCAAAGGCTACGCAACAAACGAATAACGCGCAAGTTGGCTGAAATCTATACCGGCGTGACAAGCACTATTGGCAAGAATAAAACAACGCTGAAGACAGACCTCTACTGAAGAATTGCAGCTACTGACGTGACCTTCAGCAGGCAGAACACACTCTGATTAAACAATCTAAAGCTTCCCTTTTAAGTGCTATCTCTTTCTACCTTATTTGAATAGGCGCGAACTAAAAATTAGCGTTCTGCCAGGAAAAAGGAAAGGGAGAATGACAGTAAATATACTTAACAAAAAATAATTAGTTAGAAAAAATAAACAAGTCTTTCTAAATTTGAATTGGAAATATTTGCTTAAAATATCAGTGTCAGGCATAGACAATTCTAACAAAACAAATCTTCATATGTTGTGTGATGTTGGCTTCCGCAGTTGTTTTAAACGTTAAAAATATCCAAATGCCTAGAAAATAATACGGATGTTGAATAGAACGTTGAACAAATGGTCTATATTTAACTGGCTTTCAGTTTTTTTTTTTTATATTCGGAGATGCATAATGTGTAGCGGCCGGCCATATCATTATGAAGACAGATTTTCTTTTTATTATAATGCGGCAATGCCTAGATATAATGACGAAATATTCCTTTCTAAGACACTAGTATTATAAAAGACTGTTTTTACTTTTGAATCCACTTCCTAAATATAAATCTGACGCTATATTTGAAAAGTTATACCACCATAAATCCTCTCGGGAAATTTTCTTCAGCTTGCCGGAAGCACGTTTTGAAAGTACTTTTTTTCAATCTCTTGATTTATTTTAAAAAATGGACAGTTTGATAAATCTACGTCTCTTCTAACGTAATTTCCCCTCATTACATTAGACGAAAAAGTGTCAAAGACGTCTTCAGTCAACTTTCTTTTAAAGTTATCGTGTATTCTTGCAAACAGTGGATGCGACTCTTGAAAGTGGTTTCAGGTTTAAGATTTTAGTGAATTATTTCGAATAACATTTGGGTAAGATGTCTTTAATCCACTTGCTGTGCGTCTTTTGGTAAGGACATTTGTTTGATGAAATTGCTCAAAAGTTATCTCATTATTATATTTTTGTTTCAAAATGAAATGTTTTGTACAGTCTTTTCTACTGTAATTGCAAATCCGATTTTTAGACTAGATGTCTGGTTGAAGTTAATTATTTGAGCAAAGTACACCACAGCTATTTGCTGAGAACTTCATGAAGAGAAAAGTAGGAATAACTACTTTCACTGATGTGATTTCACTACTAATGGATCAGTTTGATAGAAATGAACAGCATAAACTTGACATTCATTTTAGGGATTCATAAATGTGTTATGGAAATATAGGTAATTATAAGGGATCATTTTAAATTTAGGACACTTTTATTATTACCTCACTATGCCGGATCAGCAGCAAATTATGTAACATAGATGGATTTGTTCTTTTGTAGGCTTTCCAGCTTGCAATAATTCAAAAAATGCAATTATATTAAATAATTTCAGCATAAAAGAAATGAAATCCTAGTTTAGTTCTTCCAAAAGAAATCATGTACGTGAACTTTAATTCGAGATAGGAGATTCAGTGAAAGCTCTACTTAAATCGCTAATATTGGGAAAAAAAGGACGAGGTTTGTTTTTATAAGTGAAAAATTATTTTATCTTTATTACTTTTGCTAAAATACTGAGCTCTTCTAATTTCAAATATTTTATTATACTTTAATATGTTGACAAATAAAATTATTAGTAATTGTTTATTGACCGTATTATATAATTAATCAATTTCTACGATTTTTATTTTTTAAAATATGTGTTCTAATGATATATTATAGTATTATAAAGTCTATAAACGATGAGATTTCATTTACATATTAGCACCTGCTGCATCATGCATTTTTTAGTCTTTAGAAATGTTAAAAGCATTTCTTACATAGGGGTGCAAAATGTCCGACAAAGCACTTGAGGCATATCAGTTTGAGGAGAGAGATGCTGTTTTTCTAGAGGACGTTTTAACCGAAAATGGCTCATATTCACGTTACACGCGGGAAAACCAGCGGAAACGCGCACGCAATTATTCTAGTCCACGGATTCGAACCTGGATAATTTAGTATTCATATCCATTCGGCCAAGTGAAACAATATTTTAAAATATAAAAACATTTCTTTAATGTTAACGAAAAATTTTTGCTTTTAAAATATTGAGATAAAGTTGATTTCTGTTGAAATATGCATATTTGCAGGTCTGTTTTTTCATAGTGCTATATTTCAATAATTTCAATTTCTCCCGATTTGTAAATATATAAAAGTGTGAAGAAAACTTTTTGGAAAACATTTGCATCTTGGTTTTTTATTCCTATCAAACGGGTATTTATTTTTCATGGAAATTTTCTCAAGCAGAAATTTGATTTATTTGGAATGGTTTCCGATTTCTTCAGCCCTCATACAATGAGTTGGCAGTTTTCCAATGCTTTTGATTCTCGAAAAATGAAGAATCGCCATCATTCATTTATTTTCTATTACTATGTCAGGAAGAAGTTAGTTAAGTGTTCGTTTGCGTGAGTAAAATGATTCCTGTGTCTTTAGGCTAACTGCTGTGATGATTTATGTAACTACATCCGTAACTTTCTCTTATTTAGCAGTTGTTAAAATGCATTGCAGTGATAACTAGAGTATTTTTTTCGATTGCATAAGTTTTGTATTTGAATTTACATGCTTAAAATGCCTTTATTATCTTAAAAAGTGAGACATTTTTATACTTTCACATTTATATGTGTTTTTTTATACGGCTTTTATTCTTTTCCCCGAGTTTTATTCTATTAAATATATTCTATATAAATAGAATATATTTAAATATATTCTATATAAAATTCTATATAAATTCTATAATGCTAGAATAAAAAATGTGATTTTTATGGCTCATAAGCTAGCGATATCTTGCTTGTGCGAATTTCATTATTGTGTCTTAATTAAATGTTAGTTTTATGAAATTTTTATTTAAGGCTTAAACATTTTTATATCGTTTAAAATTTTACAAAAAGACAATAAATAAAGACAATGAATTTGTGAAAAGACTGTAGAATCATTAGGTTAATTGGAAGCAGAAAAGATGAAAAATATGCAACCGCCTTCGCCGGGAATTGAACCACGGACCTCTGGAATACCGGCCCAGCGCGCTACCGTTACACCACGAAGGCACGCTAGGAAAGTGGGAGAAATACCTTATATACTCCCCTTTTTAATGGGCGACTAGGGTTTTAGGGGACCTAGTCTCCAAATCCTGGGTGCAGAGAATCATCATCCACAACCCTTTTAGTTCGAGCGCCACTTGTAGAGTCATTAGGTTAATTGGAAGCAGAAAAGATGAAAAATATGCAACTGCCTTCGCCGGGAATCGAACCACGGACCTCTGGAATACCGGCCCAGCGTGCTACCGTTACACCACGAAGGCATGCTAGGGAAGTGGGAGAAATACCTTATAAGACATCAATTTAAGAATTTACTATTATTTCATGGTACAACATCCTGATTCACCGCTTCATATCACGTGATCCCAACTGATCTCATCTCACATAAGGTACGCTACAAAAATCTAATTATCTCAGTAATTGTATTTACATTAATTTCAAGTTAAATCTTGATTTGAAATACAAGTGCAAGAATTATTGGTTATATACTTTTTGATCGTAGTAATTATGTCTAAGAGGAAAATAAGTTTATACCTTTTCCGATAAACCCTTTGTATGCAAAATAATCCTGAATAAAAGCATGACAATAATAATGCTCTTCTGTGGTTTTCAACGAAGAGATAATGTAATAACTAGATAAAAGTACTGTCGTAAAGGAAAAATAAATATAGCTTGGTCTGAACAGAAATTCAGCGTTTAAAAACTTGTATTTCCCCGAGTTTACAATGTATTATCATGCAGTTGGCACAAAATGCATACAATCATTCGGTTTTCTTCCTTCAAGAATTGTATTATGTCTGTTGAATTTTAATTTGATCGTGAGAGTTTTGCCGTAGTGTGAAGCTTAGTTCCTTATCAAAAGGGCATACGTGCTGTAAGTTAGACAACGTACCTTTGGATGCTTTCCTTTAGCTTAACGAAACCGATGAACAGAATATGCCAACTTACGACATGGGAGGAATAAACATATCACGAAGTAGAAGGGCGTTTTATAACGAGGGATAAACTTGCCTGGTATGTTGTCAGGTGCTTGGCTTTTTGCCTGTAACGATTCCATACGATATTTCATATAAATGCTGTCTGGAACATTCAGCAAAATTCCTGTTTCCATTGTAATCTTCGACATATCCTTTCCAGATCAGGATTTTATCAATCAGATCGCCATACCACCCTGAAGAGACTTACGGCTACTTGACCACGTCATAACCATGTCGTCGGAGAGGACACACAGTCCTCTCACAGACACAGACAGACCAGAGAGAGAGAAAGAGACACATTATTTATCTTTAGCACTGCGCAGCCGCTAGGGAGAAATGCAAATTTCCCGACAATGTCAAATCTTAATTATATTTTGCGTTTGCCAGATAGTTCATCTATGAAGGCATGTAAAGCTTTTCATAATAAATGCTGAATTAACTTAGCAGTGCCTGAGGACAAGCTAAGCTAAGATGTATGGATGCCTGAAACAAGATTTCTGTATAAAGTCCCGTTACGTGTTATTCGCATAGATAGTTTCGTTTCATGTTCTGAAAGTGACGTTTCATGATTATGGTATATTCGTCATCCCGTAACAAAAAGTTTCAGGTCTGAGATATTTGTTAGGGAAAAATTACATTTTTACCCCGAATACATTAATACAATGATTATGATACTTTCCCAGTTGTGAGTTAGATCTAGTTCTCGTTACCAGGACCGGATTTATATATAAGCTACACAAGCTATAGCTTAGGGCTCCCGCTTTCTTGGGAGCCCCCAAAACTATATTTGGCACTGATATATAATATATGCTGATAGTCACTACTTATTTATTCTCTGTTAGTCGAAAGTTGTAATGTAAGAGAGAAGTAACATAGAACGATGCTCCCTCTCTTATGTGCGTTACAAAATCCAATATTTGTCTTTCTTCCAAGAGAAAAGTTTTATTAAAAACTATAGCATAATACTGAACTTTTAACAGCCATGTCTCAAAATGACTGTATCCTCAAGATTCCAAGGTACAGTACAGTTTAGAGAAATTAGTTACAACTAAAAAAATTTTTGTTGCCATTTGTTAAAACGTAAGATATTTCGTTTTTCTTTTAAATACATTTACCCGTTATTAATTAACTAATTAAGCGATTTAAAAGCAATAAACATAGTTCTGTATCTCTTTTATTGATGACCAACTAGAGCTATGAAATTACATTAGCTGGATCTGGCATATTTTGTCTTTTTTATAATAACTATTTTACGCGGCTGGATGCTCCAGCGGTGGTTGTTTGAAAAGTGAAACGGATAACAAATGTGAGAATAATAGGCCTTCTGGGCTGAAAAATGGATGGCAACATTTAACAATGCATAGGGAATTCTAAAGGTGTGCTGTTTTTAAAGGTTTCTTACGCCCTCGTTAAGCTAACAGTTTATATATGTGCTCTTGAACTCACTCCTGTAATTTTGCTTTTGAATGTTATGTGGCGTAAGCGCTAAGAATTGATGTTTTATAATAAAGTAAAAAGACAAAAAAAGTTGTGTCAGCAGGAGTGAGTTCAAAAACATAGATAAACTGTGAGCTCAACGAAGACGTAAAAAGCCTTGGTTACAGAGTCAAACTTAACCCTCTGGTACGATATTCCAATCTGAATTCTTTCAGGTTTTATTTATTATTTTTTGTTTTATTTTATTTAATTTTTTTAAAGTTTATTAACTTTTGGATCACCCTGCAATTCCCAATACGTAGCTTAAAATTTTTTATAACCTTATTCTACTACATACATATAAGTGCAGGCCCAGTTTCAGAGTCTTAGGTAATCAGCAGAGCTACTAGTTTAACATGCTTATAATCCAATGCAAAAGAAGTCTTTAGTTGTCAACAGCGGTAGCGATTTAGCTGGATCATTCCGGCGAATTGGGCTGTATCTATGTTGTGGATGCTTGGAGACGATTCTACATTAAGTGCTTCCTTGGCTTTGTGCTCTTCTGTTGCGCATTATATAAAATATTCTTAGCATGCAAATGAGACTGTTTCATAGCGTTATATAAAAATGCCAGAGTACAACAAACACACGTTAAACGGTCATGTTTAGGGTCAAAATATTTTATTTAGTGCGCGATTTACAGTACGGTTGCGTGGAAGAGAAAAATAGTACAAGGGTGTAAAATACGGAGGTCGGGAGGACTGACATGGGATTGTTAAATGAAATATAAACTTTTTCAATTCATGAGTGATACACTGTAATAAAATGAGTGCCTTTTACAAACACGTGGTATATCATCGTAATAATACCATTTAAAGTAGAATTCATCAGACTGTAAAGTTCCCGCCCTCTACGTTGCAATACTATAATTACTCAGAACTAGGTATTTTTGATAAAAATATGGAGTATTGCTCCGCTCTTTCAAAAATATTCAGGCAATGTTTTGTACAGGTGTTTTTATGTTGGAACACGTAATTATTCCCGTTATTTGCTAGGAATTTCGAAGTAGTGCTCAGCACGTGTGTCACTAAATATTTCAGTGAATGATGGCCGCAAAGTAGGTGGATTTTATTATCATGCTTTCAAGACCCAGTGCCCCTCCCTCCATTAACGGCTTCGTAGAAGAAATTCTTTCCTTCATTTCTAGGTATTGTGTTTAAATTCTCCCTGCGTGGCAGATGGTTGTTCTTTTTTATTCGTTGTTTGGGGGGGTAGTTTCTATCATTTCTTCCTTTAAAGATAAGGAATCCAAAGATGAATATTTCTCATTATTATTTCTTATATTATTTATTTATAAATTAACAGAATTAAGAATTATTTTGTATGTGTTACAATTCGATCAATAATTGTTGCAATACTAGTGGTCTTAAGTTATTTCGTCTTATTGGAATCACTCAGTCGGGAAGAGGCGCGATACAGTTATTAATTCTGTTTTGTTTATCTGTTAGAAAAAGATGGTAATCAGGTTCTTGTTGTAAGCATCTTCATTTATTTCTTCACAGTTATTTGCCTTTCATCTAAGAGGATTTACCTGCGGTAAACACAAGCATTTTAGATGAAAAGGCCTGCCCATATAGTTTAAAAATAACAGGAAAAAATTACATTTTTACCCCGAATACATTAATACAATGATTATGATACTTTCCCAGTTGTGAGTTAGATCTAGTTCTCGTTACCAGGACCGGATTTATATATAAGCTACACAAGCTATAGCTTAGGGCTCCCGCTTTCTTGGGAGCCCCCAAAAATATATTTGGCACTGATATATAATATATGGACTATATACTATATAATATATGGACTATATATTATATAATATATGGACTATATGCTATATATTATATAATATATGGACTTTATATTATATGTCAGTTCCAAATATGATTTAATATGATTATGCCAAATTATACATATAATATATGGACTGACATATAATACATGGACTCTATAAAGGGCCCCATATCTCAAATAGCTTAGGTCCTTATCAAGTATAAATCCTGCACTGCTTGTTACTAAGGCACCATTTATTGCATTGATATTATTATTTAATCAGCATGTAATCATGTAACAGATGAAAATTCAGTCTGAAGTTTCAGAATGCTGATAAATTATGAAATGAAACAAGTCACAAATTCAATGAGATATTTTAAATAGAACAAATAGTTTCTGGTGAAATAATTTTAAATTTGTTTAACAGAATATTATTTCCTTCAAAATGCAAGCATAGCTTTTCTATTACTATTATTTTTCAAGAGAAGCAAAAGACGAGCATTCTGAAATAACAGTTTTCAAGCTTATTCTATGTTTTTAAATTGAGTTTTGTTATTCAACAAATACTCTTTCAGGAACCTTCAACAGCCGTATCACGGGCAGGATGGGTGCTGAGGACACTAATATTGTGCCAAAGTCCACACCTGATCCGGGACAGGAAGTACCACATACGCACATTCCGAAAGTGCCTAGTGGGATCTGAGATGGTGGACTGGCTTATGCAACAAGGTGCTGTCTACGTCAGAATACACTCTCGAAGCCAAGCGGTCGGTATGTGGCAAGCGCTAATGGAGGAAGGCGTCATTACGCATGGTTAGTTAAATTCTACTGTTAATTGCCAATATTTTAAATTTTATTAAATTTGTTTATAGACTGAATTTTACTTAATATTATCTCCCGAAAAATTTTCAGTAATAGTACTTGGGCTAATGAGGTGCTAGGTCATTGTTACTGTGATATCTGAAACAGAGCTATACAGCCTGGCTATGCATATTCGCGAAATTTAATTTCAGAATGCTGTTCTAGGCAGGACATGAAAACATGACATCGTGAATCTCAAACACCTTACTAAATAATGACGTACATTTATATTCTAGTGAGTATATTCTGTTGTTTGCCGATTAAGTATCATGGTTGGTCTTTCGGGTTTATATCGAACAAAACTGGGTGAAAAATTTGTATTGGTTCTCTTTTAATCCATGAAAAGCTGTTTTTCTATTGCCACTGGTACTCTGTAAGCTTCAATGATAGCCATAACTCTATATTATTGTTTGTTTCGTTACCAATGTAGTTGATTTATGAGAATTAATGTTAACCGTTGCTCGATGTGACTTTATACTTATAAATGAATAAGCACATTTTTACAGTTTCTAGAATAAGATAATGTGACTATTCCATTCTCATTAATAATAATAATTAATTAAAATGATTATTAATAATTAATTAATAATTCTTATTACTTAAGAGCGCAATGTTTTCTCATCCGGGTATGTATATACCCGGATGAATGAATGAATATTTGGAGTAAATCTATTGAAAAGACGGATTAATGTTTATATGCAATAACGCCTGTTTATTTTTCTTACAAAACTTTTTAAATCATATAAACTTGCTCGTTTCATTGTGCTTATTTTCTGTAAAATGATTCTACAAATATTAAAATCGAGAACGGTACATAGAAAGTAAATTATTATTCATATTTAAATCTTTTTGAGTTCAAAAGTAGTTCAGCGGAGTGAAGAAAGTATTGAAAGCAACATTTAGTGATTGATTGCTGGTAAAAAGTAATAGAAATCACGGGCAAAAAATATTTATTAAAAGATGTCTAATAATCGTCTTTCGTGTTTGTTATGATGTAAACAGAATAAGTATACTTAATCTCCACTTATATATCAACAACAAAATGTTGCTCAAAATATTGTTTAAAATTCCGATATCCTTATCTATTGTACTCACTCATCACTGAAACATCAAGACTCCTTATAACCTGTCATCTACGTCAGAAGTAATCTGGTTCTACGTATAACTCAAATTTGGTGTTGGTTTAGTATTTAGAGATTTTTCTTACTGCGTTGTATTTTTTCCTTAAATATTTTACATTAATAAAAAATAATTTTTTATTTAATTGTATAATGTGTGTACTTTTTATAAAGTTGATTTCGTAGATTGCAAATAAAGTAATGTCAAACTTTAGATCCTATATAAATGAAAAGTTAATTTTATTTTTTTTTACGTAGGAATTGATGGTATGTGTAAGCAAATTAAAAAAGATTCGCAACTTAATTTCTTCAAATAAAAAGAGTTTGATATTTTAACACATATAAATAGATATGTATTTGATCTGCAAGGCAGACCAAAGATGGTTCCAGATATTTTTCTGCTGTGTTGATAGAGAAACAATTACAAAGCCTTATAATTTTTCTCCTTGATGATGCTAATATTTCGCCTTATATTTTAAATACATCTATTATTCAGTGTGTGTATTTGTATTACAAATGAAATACCTCACTTTTTAGCTTAGGAAAATCATTGCAAATCTGGTTTTATTACACTGCAAAGGACTGACAGCTTAGCTAGGTTAATAATTTTATCATTGAACGGAACTTTGCGGTGAGTTTCTTTAATTTTAGAGAATTTTTCTATGCTTCCCCCTAAATCAGAATTTTTCTATCAGTATCAAATAAATCCGCGAATTTTGCATTCTTTCATATTGTATTTTAATTTCTGTTATGATCATTAGCTTATTCAGATATTTTGGGTAATTTTTATTTTTGCAAAGTAATAAATAATTTTTATTCTTCGTACTGCATATCAATCCGGTTCTTATGTTCAAATTATAAGACTAAATTACCCTAAATTTTGCCGGATCTCTGTTGTATAAGTCATTCTCCGAAACGAAGTTCCCTTCTCTTGCTTGACAAGGCCAACAAACACTTTCGATGCCGAATGATCCTTTTTTAAAAACATATACTTTATGAAGAAAAATATGTATACAAAGTTTAATATAAAATCACCGTTTAATAAAAATGGTAGTCTTTATCTATGCATTGCATATGTTTCCAAAATTTGACTAATTTATAAAGTTTAATTAAAAATAAAATGCTTAATTTGTATTTAATTACAAATCAATTATTTTGTTATTGCTTATTTTTGGAAATGTTAATGCAAACATTTGCGCGAGATTTCCAGTGTAAACTCCAGACCGTGAAAGTTTCGCGAATTTTCACTACTTGCCCCGCGAATTATGCTGCCTTTTTTCCTCCACGATTCCCACGATTCTTTGCCCTTTTTCTCCAATTCGTAACTATGTGCTGTTTTTTGTAAATCATATAAAAAATAGTTATGATTTTATCACAGAAAAGTAAATTGTCAGTATGAATACGGAACTGCTTTTTCTCCTGCGATAAAATTACCGCTATAATTATACGCCTTTTCCCGTAAATTGGTAATAGTAATTATTTTTATTAGCGAGTTTACATATTTAGGGTACGTTTTTGTGAATTTACTCATACAAGTAAGTACATGCACTTTGTTTTCATGATTGGTTATAATAAATACGATATATTATAATCAGGATCGATGGTAATTGGTTAAAATAATGAAAAGTCTTAAACTAATTCAACAGATTCCGTACCAGTAATGATTCAGTGACAGTAAGAAAATTTTGGCTTCAAGCGGTTATCAGAGTTTTAACAAAATTGTGTTCAAATAAAATTCTTTTCTGTTTTATCCACTTGTTAAATAGTGAATTTTACTGTTCAATTTAAATTAAACTGAAAAAATTCTGTTTTATCCACTCTTCTAAAATGTTAACAAATGTAGCTGGTTAGGGTCAAGACATTTTTAATCTTACGAATGTCGATGTGAAATTCGAAAATTCAAATCCTTGAGTCTTCGCACCACTTTTGTGATTCAAATGCTAATCTAAAAGCCGTTAAGCATTTTAACTCAAACATTTGGAAATATTATTTTTCGTATAACGTGCAGGCAGAGGTAAAAATATGGGGACCATCAGCGATGTATCACATGTATATGGATAATGTCTTTCCAATACTAACTTTTAAAGTAAATTTAAATTAGCTTTTAAAATAATTAAATAAGCTTTTAAAGTAAATTTTACGAATTTTATATGAGCTCAGAAACAAACAAATTCGAATTTCGCTGAGATGAAAATCTGGAGCTTCAAGGAACTGGAAGTTATCTATCATGCTGCGTAAGGTAATCTTACCGCATGCTTCACATGTTCCTTCTTACCATATGCCCCATTACTTATTAAAAATAATACTTTGCCACCGTGGGATTAAAATACAATTTAAGAGTCACAAGTTAAGCTGGAATATTTGTCTTGGTATAACAAAAAGATCAAACAAAACAAAAACATAACAAGGAAATAACAGAATAAAAACGGGTAAGCCAATGACGCAATGAATTGTATTGATAGTATTTAGTGAGTGTTCATGCGGTCAGATGGTTTGGGAATAACATCAAATTACTGGGAAATAAGAATATGAGATTTCAGGGTCGTTGGAAATAAAAATTTAATTAAATTTTTGTGTTAAGGGGAGGAACGGTATGATTCTTGGGACAGCGTATTCAATTCGTATACATCAAGTGTAGATTTTCAGTGTATGTAAATCATAAAGTAATTTATTAATTGTATAAAGATCATAACGTGTACATGAAATAAAATTTTAGTGATAGGTTTTTTAATTGAGAATACAAAAAAGGATTTTAAAAAGACGCTAACAACTAACAAAATTGAGTAAAAGTTTTAGAAAGGGTATGTTGCAATAGATAATTGCATTTTATAATGCTCATGAGTGTGTCCTTCTTTTACTAGGTGAAAATTATGTTTATGTAACATGCAACGTCTCTTATGCTTTGCAAAGATTGCTTTAACTAAGGATACTGATTTAAATTAAAAATGACATGCCGGATAATGATTATTGGAGAAGTCACACAACAAGAATTTCGCATTAAAGAACATGAGACGTGTGCTAAGAAAAAGGAAATACGGAAATTCTCTGTTGCCCAGTACTATTAGTCCAAAAATCACACCTTCCATTTTTTTGCTGCCAGAATTATTCAAAAAACATCTTCCATTGTTGAAATGGATTTTCTAGAGGCATTTCACATTCAAAAAAAATCTTCCTGTTCTAGTTGACGACCCTAATTCGAATCCATCTTTACCTTCAGCTTTTAATGGAATTAGGTTTAAGTTTTCCTGTTTCATCAATAGATGGCGCCAGTAGCACAGCTTCTGTCTATACATTCTCATTTTATCTTATCACCATACGTTATCTCATTCTGATATACTGCATTTAGACTGCTGAAGAAGATGGTTTTGTAGTTAAACAATCGAAACTAGTTCTGGAAAATTTACAAATATTACGTTGATTCTTGTTGTTTGACTTCTCCAATAAGGATATTGATGTTAATTAAAAACATCTGGAGTGCGTGGAAAGTAGTTTCTGACGTTTTCAATTAATTTTTCTCAGTTCAGTGATATGAGAACGTCTATAGAAACTTCTGTAAAAGAAAAAGGGAATATATATATATATATATATATTGTTACAATTACTAGAAACTGATATACGTTGACCCGAGTGCCATATTCTTGAATTTCTACAGGGAATTTAGCTTCATATCTGAATGCTCGTGTGCGTTGTTTCTTGAAATAATGCCCGCCTCTCAACACTTGGTATAATTTTAGAAATCTGATATTCTAAAAGAATATCAGAAGTGTGAACTTTACTCAAATATTTTATTATAAAACCATATGGAGAATATAATAAAGTTCAAGTTTAAAGTTTTTATTATGTACCTCATTTCCTAAGCTTCATTTGTATCTTTTAAGCTAATACTATAAGTGCTTTTTTAAAGAGTGTATTCTTAATTTGTTTATCATTAAAGGCATATTTGAAATTTTGCATTAATCATATTATTTTAATACTAAGTAAAAGTTCCTTTTTCTTCTTCATATAATTATCATTTTCATATAAAAGATTTGAGCGATTCAACATTCAAAACATTCCAGATATTCGAGAAACTTCCGACATTCCGATTCAGATTCGAGAAAATTTATGTTTCATCCTCTGGGATTCATATTCTGAATAAAACTTTTGCTCCCTTATTATTTTATTATACAGAATTTCAATCAATATATCTTTTACAGTAACAAACGAACATCAGTTTAAAGACAAGTATTTATTCTACCGGTTCAGAGAAGACCAACAAGAAGGTGTGCCACCGCCGACGTTTGAAGACAAGCAACAAGCTGAAGCGGAACTACCAGAAACTTTGGGACTGTTACTTCAGCTGGCACCCGATGCAATTTTTCGAATGATTCTTCGTAAACCGTAAGTCACGTTGGTTATTCTGAACAATGTAAAAGGTCCATCTGTCATTCCATTCTGTTGTAAAGACTAGCATTCTTGCAGCATAATGCATATCATAATGTAAGCTGAAATAACTTGTTATATCTTCAGTATAAGAAATCAAAAATTCTGTAAACATTTGAAATTGTTATTTATATAAAATCTAGAGTTTCTATTATGCTCTGGCTCTCTTACTTTATGTACATATCCTGCCTGTGAGAAACTGCCATGATATTTTTTTTTTCAAAACTTCATCTTATTTTACAGCTTAATTTTTTTTTAGTTAGCTTTTAGATAAAATGGGATGTTCTGTCTTACGCAATATTTTAAAATAATGAATAAATGTTTAACTGAATAAATGTTTAAGAATAGGATTTTCTGAAAGGGGCAGTTTGTTTATTCTTTGTATTTCCTGCAAATTTTTGTTCTTTGAATGTTGTATTGCATTTAAAGTTGGACTTTGTGCGTTCTGAGGCAATGTTGTAAGTATTCAATAAAATTAACGCTTCAAAACTATTACAGGCGTTTATTTACTTATGTATGCCATGTATATAATATTATATACTCAGAAAATTTCTATATCTTTGCATTTTGGCGTACTTTTTCTTCACGTGATAGAGGAGTTTTGACAGGCGTTTTCCAGTCTACTGAAACATTTCAATGTTTAGTACTTTTAATAGCCCTGAAAATTTGAAATTTTCATTGCGAACAATAAATAAATGGTGTTTAATTTTCAAATGAGCTACCATTGGCCGAAAATTAAAAAAGTTACAAAAGTGAGCTACCAGTGGCGGAGAAAATATGTTCTGCGCGCGAGACTTTGTATCGGAAATTTTAAAGATATTCTCTTTTAAATATTTTGTGATATTGCGGTTGAATTTGATTTTATGGTTTAAGTGCGAAGAACATAGTTTTAATAAATAAAGGTAACACACAAAACATTAAAAAGAACGCCCGTTTGGTCGTAATATAAAATCTGAAAGCTTTCAGGTATTTTTTTTGTTGTTTTTGTTTGTTTGTTTGTTTATTAGTTTACTTAGCTGACGACATATAAATCAAATTAAATTGTGTTTTCAACAACCGGACTTAAGATGTATAAAATTTAAAGAGCAAGAGTACACGAATTTCACACATGCTGTATATTATTTAATGATTACATTAAAATATGAAGGTTTATAGAAAAGCAAAGAAAGACTTGAATACTTTGCAGTAGTACAAATTAACTGAATATGTTTGTTAAAATAATAATCATATTATATGGTTTTGTTTATACAGTACTTTAGCTGATATAGTATGTACAGAAGGAGGAAAACTTTTGCCTCTTAGTGAGTGTCAGTTACTTTTTATAACCTCACATGCAATGAATCTAGTTCAACAATATAATTTTAGTTTTCGCTTTCTACTTGAAAAATTATATTAGTAATACTTCTTTCCGTTTACCTGCAGCCATCATGTCAGTGTCGTCAGCATCATTTTGCTTATCAATATATTGAATTGCATCTTCATCTCGACGGGATCTTCACCATTAATTTTCCTTTGGCTGGATACAATTGTCTGATTAATACAGCGATTTAAATGAGAATTAAATAACTTGAAATCAGATACAACGCAATAAATTGGAATCACGAATCAGGCATCAAACATGAATTTGGAATGAAGTGTTAAGAATATTGCAAAAACTGTAACAAAATTAAAATAAAAAGTTAAAATTGCACATGTTTGATATTAATTACACGAGATTTAACATAATAAAGAGCACTAGGTGTGCTGGTAGAAATGATGCTTTCCTTTAAAAAGTCTATTTCCACGATTTCTAATAGCTGCACTTAAAAATGTGATATAGAACATACACTTTGGAGAACAAAAGCAGTAAAATATAAAGCTTTGTATCTTTAAAATATTTTATGATCACATTTTATATAAACTGTGTTATGATGTCTGTTATTTCATGAACCATAGAAATGAAATTGCCTTTTGCTCCATTTGGCTTGTTACTAGAATAATATTTTTGCGACGCGAATTTCTGTGATTAATTGCGTAAGTTTTGAAGTTATCTGGTTTCGAGCGTATCATAATTTTCAGAGAATGTCGAACAAATCTATGGGTTTTCTATTTTCTATATATTTATTTTCTGTCGTAAGTGTTGGATTATTTTACATATCTGAATAAATGTATAAAGTAAATAAATAAATATTTAATAAAATAATTAAATGTTATCGTCCATTAGAATTTAAGCGAAAAATACACTGCAAAATAATCTTGTTTCAATATTCTTGAATTTTTGCTGAAGTCATCGAATACCATTTTTCACCCAATATTAAAATTATAGTAGAGTTTTGCTTTTGTTTAATTTTGCCATTATTATATTTAAATTCATGAATGGGAATTTTATATGAAGCAAGATTCAGGTAAAAAAGCAAAGATATCTCTTTGGCTCTCAGTTATTATACCTATGTAGAAAGCATTTTATCTTTGCTATTTGCAGGTACTCTTTTATTTTTGTATTCCAGAATTCAGACTAGATAACAGGAGGTATGCTTGAAATGAGTCACTGTTGCAAATATGTCTTTGATCGATTGAAAGGTGCCCTTAAAGTTGGAGGAAGAGCGTGTCTTCAATGTCGTTTAACATCTGCGATTTTGATGTTGACTGATCAGACAGAACCTATTTGCTTTTGCTCTTATCGAAAGAAAAGACGGAAAATGTTGTCATCGCTGATATTCTGAAAATTGTATTTTGTCGTAGATATTAAATGCAATTATTCCATCTTTTATCATTTGCAAATCAAATCCAGAATTTGCGTCTTGACTCCTCGGAAATCTATATTTTGTAGAATGCACATCTAGTGATTAGCATGAAATATTAATCCTTAATTCATATTTTTTTTTAAACATTTAATTAAAAACTCATTCTAATAGTAAAAGTATGGAAATTTTGTGGTTTTCCTATTAAAATGCACATAGAAAATTCATTCCAGATAAAAAATTTTAAATATAAACGCTTATTTTTTAGACTTTATCTCTTTCCATTATTTTAGTTTTAATTTTTTAGTTTTAAAATAGAGATATAATGGGCTATCATTTTTTTTATTTATTTATTATAAAATATTTAATATTTAAATGATTTACGAAATTTATGCGTCAAACCCTTGACTTTGGGAATCAGAAAATGTTTCCGAGAAATTTATGCAAAATAACGAGCAGAGAAAATCTGTATATTTGGTAAACCTTAATGATAATTTACCTGCCTTAATGATACCTTAATGATAATTTACCGAATGTCGTCAGTCTATTACCATTCTTTTTCTAATCTCACAAAGCTATTGACACTTTTTTGTTGACACTTTTCGGTGCTTAAGTGTTACCCCGTCGACAGTAAAACTGTCGGTAAGCAGCACGATATAGCGCCAATTATAAGTTTAACGTAACGCCGACTGATATGCTGTAATCCCGTTTGATGGTACTCTGACTGATTCTCAAAAACCCCCTTTGGATTTTATGAGTAAGGATATAAATTAACTCTTCTTTATATATTTGTTTCTTACATTTGAAAACAATAAGTAAAATTCGAGACCTGCCTTCGACAGAACAGCAAGCAATGGCTTATTTTCAAAATTATTGGCTTTTACAGTAAACCTGTTATGGATTGGAACACTTACCTGTACGCAAGCTACACGTAGACGTTCCAGAAACAATAGGAAGGCCTAAATCAACAAAACCTTTTATGAAGACAAAAATGAAACTAGTCGAATACTGATTGTTTTTTAAACAAAAAGGCGCCAATTGCCTCAGAATTCTACAAGAAAGATTGGCAAAACTTTGGCAGGATCTCCGCCTACTTGCAAGGTTCAACGGTAGCAAACTTTTACGTTCAAACGGAATAAGTACCCACTTCTATATCCTGATTTTATACTCTTACGCTGTTAACTTTAAAGTTCCATATCGCCTTGGTGTAACTGTAAATTATAAGACGTGTATTAGGCGACTGTTCGACAACTTTTCTTCCCTCCTACCTTCAAATTATAAGTATCTCGGTTCAAGTAAAAGGTTAAAATAAAATTGTTTATTAGCACTAAAACGACGAATTTGTTTTTTTGTATTAAAACGTCGAAAACCATAATTTTCATGAGTTCAATTACTATCAAGACTGTAATGTATTTAATACGTTTATATATGTAATAACTTGGCAATAGCTGGTGATGTAGATAGTTGCATAAAGAAGAAGAATTGCAAACGTGAGCGAATTCAGTTACTTTTTTTATATATGGTTACACGCATTTTTCATTAAGCTAATAGTTATAAAATGAGCAATATATTATTATTACTATACTTCACTCTAGAGAACGAATGGTGGAATATGGCGACCAGAATTTTCAAGTCCTTTTGTCGAATTCTCTCATTGTCCTTGGAGTAGTATTGGAAAAAATGATGCGACGTCAGAGTTGTCTATATTGGCAGAAGAGGGCACACACAATTGATTGGCACTCGAAATGTTACTTATCCAATTTATCATTTTTTATTCAAATGCAAAGCAATAATTCAGCGCACTAAAACTAGGACAGTCATTTTTTTAAATGTATGTGTTACTGGAACTCCCCCTGTTTTATTACTACCTTAATAATCTTCATTTCTTGCATTGAAAATGGTATACAAATTACATCTGCAATGATTCATCTATTGAAGAGAGGCTGGTGGTGTGATGAAAATTTGAAGTGCTGTTTTTGTTATTACACAATACAGCATAATAGAATAACTCATTGTATCTGTCATATTTACTTCACTTCATCAACTATATTTAATTAAAACAGAAGTATTCTTTATCAGGATTAAAATTATTAATACCAAATTTATTTATTTGTCGAATTTTTTTCATTTCATCGAAAAATGATTTTCTCTAAACATTAATTTCATTCATCATTTCTTTTTTGGACTTATATTTGTACGTTTTTTGATGTTTTAAAATGCTTTAATAAATTTCCGTTGCACTTTTTTTAAAACAAAATACTTTAAAGAAGCTGCTTAGGCTATTGATTGTAAGGTAGTTTGATTAAAGAAGAAAAATATCTATAAATTGTGAATTGGGTTAAAACAGAGGGAACCAAGTTTTCGTTTTTATTGCATTTTTATCTGTCAAGTCCTCTGAAAAAAGTGATGCATAATTGCCGTTAGTGATAGTGGCCAGGTCTAAGCTTTTAGATTCTTCGTAGCAGGTGTAATTTGAAATGAAATGTCTTTTATGATGCATTGGGACTATTGTATTATAATGTGCCATACCTAGTCCCTAAGTCCCAAAGCTCTAATGGAATTCTAACAGTAAACGCCCTTCTGGGCTGGGTGCGTGTTCCCTATCTAATTTACTTAGCAGTAAACTCTTATTCGTTAGGATCACTGAATGACAAACACTTACTTGTTTTGTTGAATATTTTATGCGAGAAATTAAATTGAAATGTTCTTTTAGGTTGGGAGATCGGTCAGCGGAAGATCTGGAGATCATCTATGAAGAACTCCTCCACATCAAAGCTTTGTCTCACCTTTCGAACAGCGTAAAGAGGGAGTTGGCTGGAGTTCTAGTCTTTGAATCCCATCCAAAATCCGGAACAGTCCGTAAGAATGCATATATTTTAGATCATAAAGTATTTCACGAAAATAACGTAACTACTCCTTGTTGAAATAACTGTGCGATCTTATTAAATGCAGTTTTCATGACTGTTTTTTTAAAAAGATTCATTACTTAATATACAAAATGTATTATAAAAACTTAATTTTCCTTTTGCGATTGTATCACAAAAACACTTGCTTTCCCCCCTTTAGTTAGGTATTCATGAATACAATTAGGAAAAATTGCAGAAAAAATAATCTATTCTTTTACCCTGCGGTCTTTCAAAACTTCATATAGACTTGTTAGCCACATACATGTAACTTCAATTTATCGGAAGCTACGTTTAGATATTTTATTGAAATTATCACATTTACCATGCATGCTTTTGTAGTATAAGGGTTAGATCCATTCTGCAGGATCTAAATCTAAAAGCAGTGGAAGCTCAGTGATTAGAATCTCCACGACGGCATAATTTAATCTTCGCATTTTTTCTTCGAAAGTATTTGTCTCTATAGTACTACCTGGATTAAAATATGGTAGATAATAACCCCTCACCGACTAGATTGTATCGACTGGGTCTTGTGCTTTTTCTCTGTCATACATTTCATGGGAGAGAATGTAAGGAACCACTGCATTTCGCCGTATGTGTTTTCGAGATGTACGTGTTTATCATGCTTAGGTAGCAGTGAAAAATCCGTGGTTCGAATCCCGGTGAGACCGAAAATCCTAATGGTTGTGTATAATAATACATTTTTAATTAAAAAAAGAGGTAAGATAGATTTCTAGACGAAAACAATGTATTAATAACAAGTAATAATATATAATTTTACATAGTTATTAACAATTAGTTAATAGTTCTAAATTAATCAATAATTATTCATATATATATATATATATATTATATAATGCCGTATTGTTATTTCTTCGTTTCTAAGATGCCACTGATTGCAATACGCACTCCTTAAATTAAGCACCACCTGCAGAATTACACTTTTATTCTAGGCAAATCAAATAACTGGAATAAAAGACTCGAATGAATTTAGCAAAAAATAACCGTTTTGGATTTAATTACGATAATTATTTAAATTAGAAATTTGAAAAAATTTATTTGCAACAGAATAATTCAGAAAAATATGCGATTCTAGAATGCAATTGATTTTAACAGGCATACCATTTCAGAAGTCAAACAACAAAAATCAGCGTTATATTTACAAAATTTTCACAGGACTAGTTTCGATGGTTTTACCGAACCACCATCCTCAGCTGCAAAACCGAAATGAACAAGATAGGAAATAATAATTAGATAAGATAAGAAAGCCTTGACAAGAACAAGCAAGTGTCACCATCTGTTGATGAAACCAGAACTAAAACATAATTTCTTTAAAGGCCGAAGGCAAAGATGGAATGGAATTAGGATCGTTAACTAGAACAGAAAGATTTTTTTGAATGTGAAATGCCTCTAAAAAATGCAGTTCTCCAATGGAAGATGTTTTTTGAATAATTTTGGCAGCAGAAAAATTGAAAGTGTGATTTTGGGACCAACAATGTCGAGCAACAGAAGACTTCTGTGTTTCCTTTTTTCTAACATATACCTCATGTTCCTATCTTGCCTCATGTTATATCTTTTCCTATCTTATTCATTTGCGGTTTTGCAGCTGAGGATGGTGGTTTTTGCGTTGTGAAAAAATGCATCCCGGGACCGTGCCGTGAGAGAATCGAAAACATAAGAAAAACATATACTAGATATATAGAAAAACATATTAAATATATAAAGAAAACATACTGTAATAGGTTTCCAGATTAAATATCAGTTTATTCAATTTCATCACAAAAAAATAAAATCTTATCCTCATCAGAGAGTCTAAGGGGAATTCTTCAATTTGTCATTTACTTTTTTTTTACATTTAAATTCATATAAAAAAACCTTAAGGTTTGTCTTGGTAATTTAAAAGGGGAAAGGGAAACAATTGAAGGCCTGAGAATTAATTTAATATTCGACGTTGTTTTTAACTTACTTAAAGTTCAAACACAAAAAAATGACTTATCTGTTAAAGACGTCTTGAAGTGGAGGACTCGAATCCTAATAAGCGTGGACGTTGGCGGGGCTCATCTTTACGGTCACAAAATGGAAGTTTCAGAAGACATCGTCCTGTCCAGGCACTATTTGCTAAAACACACACGCAGGTAACCGGTTTTCATAATGACGATGCTATTTTTAAGTCTGGAAAACAGAAAACAGGAGCACTGCTGCCCAGCACAGCTATCCGCTTGGTCTTGAAAGTCTTAAGTCAACACACAGGTAACTGGTTTTCATAATGAAGACGTTATTTTACCTCTGTAAAACAGAAACAGGAGCACTGCTGCCCAGCACGGCTATCCGCTTGGTCCCTGAAAGCCTTAAGTCAACACGCAGGTAACTGGTTTTCATAATGACGACGTTATTTTTACCTTTGTAAAACAGAAACAGGAGCACTGTTGCTCAGCACGGCTATCCGCTTGGTCTTGAAAGTCTTAAGTCAACACGTAGGTAACTGGTTCAAATTTCCCTTTTTACCAGAATGCGGCAAGGGAGCATGTTTGCAGCTCCCGGCCAGAAACGTTTTTCTAGGCAATTACGGCTCGCCTGTTCTTGCTCATCCCAAGAGCAAGCTTCACGAGTAACGTCCAAAGTCAGTCTAGCCAGCCAGAGAGTGAGTAAGTCCTTCCAAATCGAATTTCCTTCGTCTCCTTCACAAAACGCGGGCTCCCACTATGGCTTCACTTATCGCCCCCTTAATTATGGCAAAATTTGCATTTTCAACCCGTGAATGCGGAAATAAGGGTGATCGCGCATGCGCGCCCTTCTTCACTTAGCCAACAACCGGACCCTCAATCGCCAAAAACCTGAATGACTTACATTGAAAGACAAGTAGCAACCTTTGACCTTTTTGTCACGTACTTCCTCTCTTAAGGTCAACTACACAATGAAAATCCTTCTAGAACATTCTAAAGGACAAAGCGCGCGAAATCATGACTTGGCAAAAAAATTGCTTCCCTTTCCCTGCTTCTTTCACAATGAATCAAAGCTTGTACTAAATTTGCAAATAAAGGAAAATAAATAATTTTCTTTTAAACTAAATAACCCAGAAGCATCTGTTTTTCCCCAAAATTAAAGCCTTAAAATAAATAATTTAGAATCAATTAAAATTAAAATTTCCATAAATCAGAAAATCATTTACCTAGTTTTTATACCGCTATCAGACAAATTCTCTACACAACAGTTGTTATAGAATAAAGTAATTTTTATAGAATAAAGTAAGATTTTCAGCAGGCAGATAAAATACAACAATTTTAGTGACACATGCAGATATACTTGTCTGCTAGTATAGAAATAACTAGAAAGAAAAACATCCTAAAGTACATTATTATTTTTTTAACTTTAGAAGTTATTACATACCATACCTATTCCTTCAAAATTTCTTTTCATCAATTAGTAAAATTATCAGACACTCAAACACTTAAAAAACATTGTATTCTAGAATAATGTTACTAAACGTCTCGTCTCGAGAATTCGAATTCTAGTACTTGAGTTTACGGACCAGGCTGAAATAATATTTCACAGAATGCATTATTAATTATATCAGATTCAAAGTAGATGTATTTAGTTAGATTTTTTTACCTCTGCGGGAATTATTTACTACCGCAATACACGCTTTGTGTCAAAATACAGTTGGTGTTATTGATTATTGAAATACATGCTGTAAGGAGAGTTTAATGATTAATGTTACAGATTTGAAACATAGTTATAGTAGCGTCCTTCAAACATAATCCCCGATTACTCAACGTTTCGTATATCTAGATGATCACTTTTCTTTCTTCAATCGTTAAAAATATGTTGGTCAATCGAAACATATCTTTCAGATAATGTGGTTGTTTATTATAGCTGTGCCGCAGTACTGTCTAACATCACCATTACAGTACCAAATTATTGGTACATTTTAATTACTGCATGACTGAAATTAACAGTACTTATTTATGCGTATGAATAACAGCCTGCTTTCTTCTTTTATTCAAAGACTTGTTATAATATTCTAACTGTGCAGTTTTTGTCCAGACATTCGTGGCGTTCATTTGGTGACTTTGGCAATTTCTGGCCAAATCTGGCGAAAACATTAGTCTCCAAAACCATTGCCAGCTGGCGCTACCTCGCCAACACCAGTTTAGTGAGATAGTATTAAATGGGCTTTCTCCCCTGAAACCTTATTTTCCGGTAAAGCTTTGTTTTCTTGACGTCTTTCATGTTACATTATACAAGAGATACTACAACTTACATATAATTGCACTAAAACTATATACGTACATAGAAACTTCATAACATTATATTATTTTATGTTAAAATATATTTCATATTAAATAATTTCATAAATTTATGCTTTTTTTATTTCAGTTTTTAACCAAGGTGATGAAGGCAAATCCTGGTTCATCATACTTCGGGGATCAGTCAATGTTGTGATATATGGGAAGGTAAGGGTTTAAAAACAACTATTAATATTCCGAAGATTTATAAAGAAACGCGGGAAAAAACATTTTTTAAATGTATCTTATAAAGAAAAAAAAAGTTGTTTTAAATTGTTTGAATTGTTTTTATTTGTTTATTATTTGATCGTTACAATACAGTTTTTAGTTCTGTTTGTTATTATAGCAGCGTTTCCTAATATTTTCTTGATAAATGGAACCTTCGCCCAAACCGTATTAGGGGAGCCTACAATGGTACCGAAGGGCCCGGGTTCGAATCCCGGGGAAGACAAAGATGTTTGTAAATGTATAGTGTCGGTGCGGCATGGCGGTACTCTAAATATGCGGTGAGCCGAAAGTCCTCTCGAGTGGATTGGTGGAAGGGAAGAGGAGTGGGAGATCCCCAGGCCTACCCGGGTGTTCTTCCTCAAAATTGGGGGTGGAAAATTAGAAGTCCAACCTCTGTTCGGAGTTGGCTCTGGCAACCATTGTTCCATGTAATATGGACAAGACGACAACAACAACACAAATGGGACCCTTTTTAATGTCCTCTTTTATATCGTGGAACCCCTAGTGCGTTTCAGTAGTATGATTGTAAAGCAACATACCGTAAACAGATTATTGCAACAAAAATGGCAATTATTTTAAATATCACTTATTTGCTTCAGTACGTTATTTCAAAATTTAATTTATTTAAATTAATTAAATAATTTTAAGCAACGTATTCAAACTGCACTTTTGCATTTAAATTTAATGAAATGAGTGGCTACTTCTATTTATTATCTCAGATATACTTATGTTAGGCTTTATAGATGAAAACTGAATTCCAATGTCATGTGCGGTTCCAGTTGCAGTATGTAGTTTTTTGTCGACAGATACTGCTGAGAAGTCCATTCGAGCTGGAAATGGTAAAAGTGCGAGTATGGCTTTTTTGATACACATTTTTTAAAGTGCATTAGAATTCCACTAACGGCACTGATTTAAATTTTTCTTGCAACGATGAGTTGTATCTCATTTAAATAAAAGTTTCGTATTCTTCTGCTGACATGGTAGAAGGCCGTGTATTGATAATTAATGGGTTTTGAATCCACAATTCTTTTTAATATTTAATCTGCTGCCCATCTGAAAAATACAGATAAAAACCTTCACCCAAACCCTTCAGGTGCTGAATGATTTCTTCAATATATGTCTACCCTATCTGAACCCTTTCCTTTTCTGAAAAGTCTTTTATTGTTGGGAAGCAATCAGAATCGCTGGAGCTCACACAAGTTGTCCATATTTCTCTTTTTATTTTGTGAGCAGTAAATACATATACGTGTTTGACCTGATATTAACCTTTTAAGTTTTAATAATATGTTAATGGTTTTTTTTTTTTTTTTTTTTTTTTTTTTTTTTTTTTTTTTTTTTTTTTTTTTTTTTTTTTTTTTTTTTTGTAAAAATGTCGTTTAAATAGGCAATTTTTAGCAGTAAGTTTCTATCAAATAATCGATCCCTCAGTTCGAAATGTTTGGAAAAAAGCATGTATCTCGTCCCTTAGCTCAAGAAACGTATTAGGACCTTTCCACGAGAGAGCCATCTGACTTGTAAAAGAAGAGAGGTACGGCCGCCAAGCCGGTATAGTGGTTAGTGGTTCCAACTGCCATAGCAATGGTCCCGGGTTCGAATCCCGAAGAAGGCATGGTTGTAACCTCGTCCCTTTATAGGATGAAACATTGTCTACCCATTAGGTACTTCCATAATAAAATGGTCCCATTAGGTGCTTTCATAATAAAATGGTAATCACTTCCGACCGTAAAGCAAATGGCTGTTTAATAAAGCGCCCGACCGTTTCGCCGCCCGTCAGACTTTCGCAATTTGATTGACTTTCAAAATTAATAAGTGGGAGCGAGGGTTAACTTTTTTTAATGTAGTGGAGACGTCAATTTTTTTTCAATTGCATTCTTGAATATTGTGGGGGGGAATGCAACTTTCGCAAAACCTTTCAATTGTGTCTCTGGAGCTGCGTGTAACATACTTTAAGAAATGCTGTTATAGAGTATAACGCCAGTTATAATGGAACGGAAAAAAAAGCTTTTAACGTGTTTTTAATTTTTTTCTTTGATTTAAGTAATATATAAAAATAATGTAGTATAGCGCTTATTTTTTAAAAAAGTAATTAAATTAGCTTAGAATTTATATGCATACGATATGTGGAACAGTCTATAATATTTGGCGAGATGTACCTTGCATGTATTAATAAAAAATTACATTAGTGTGCGGGCTTACTCTTCCCTATTTGTTCCATGAATTGTTGCTTAAATAACAAACACTTCCTTTCTAAAAACAGATTAAAAAGCTTGGTGGCGTTGTGCGAAACCACTTTGTGAACAAGGAATTTCCGTTTTATAATAAATATGCAAGGTAACTGTCAGTTAGTTTCTTTATCGTTTTGGTGCACATCCACTTCTCCCTCCCTTAAGTATTAAGTAGAATATTATTCAAATGCGTAATCTTTGTTGAAATACTATAGATGAAAATAAATAAATAAAATATCTTAATTTACATAACAGTTAGATCGGTGTATGAAAATATTGTAAACACTATAATGTTTCGTTTCGCACTGATGGCAACACCAATCTGAATGTCACAAATTGCAAATGCTTTGCATTTCCCCATAAACTTGGACACACTGTTATCAGGTTGATGACACAATATAAATGCTGCTAAGTAATGTATCAAGACTTTCATAAAGTCAGGAAAAGTAATTGAATCACCCATTCCTTGCCTACTAAGGCATTTCTGGTAGTTGGAAACCGCTGACAGGTCAGATGGATCTTAAGTGGAACCTTTAACGAAGAAGCCTATAAACGCTACTTCGTAGCGAAGTTCATTTAAGATTATTTGTTAATTTGATATAATACCTGGTATCGATTGATTAGAGTTGTCTAATTTATGATTTTGATACATAGGGAAAACAACGAAAATCGTACATGAATTCCATGTATATGCATGAATAATTAATTACTCGTAAGAAATCAGCTTGCCGGGTGAAAGAGTAAAATTTCTACAATGTAGATTAGCTTCGTTAGATCAGAATTCACGAGACTAAATTTAGTCGAATAGATTCGATTCTAGCAAAGTATTGTGTAACAAAATGGGAAGCTGACTTCAAGAAAAACAGTTTTATTTGATGTTAATTTCATTTTACAAGTGCTTTCGGCGATTGAACAGTACCGACATTTTCAGTTGCAAGTGAAAGTTAAATGACGAACGAAAGATTAATGAAATTTCGAGAACTACTTAATAAATGACAAAACGATGCCCCTTTAGAATAAAAAGGAAGGGAAAATAACGAAAAATGTAAAGCAAAGGGTGCTCTTTAGGAATGAAAAATACAATCAGATCATGTCATAAGCTTAAGATAAAAATTTTGCCTGTTGTATTGATAAATATTGATTAATGTGATAATTTAGCATTAATTCGGTGCAAATCTATTAGAAATGTTAAAGCGTTTTCCAGGAATTAGTACATCCGTGCTAATGTAATAATTTTATCAAATAGAGCAATAGAAAGGTTAATAAAGATCTAGGTTTGTTTCAGGGGTCAAGACCCAGGAGAGATTGCTTTAATAATTTACATAAAATTTAATAAAAGCAACTTATTTATCGGAAATATAGCCACCATTATACTTAATAAGTGCACAATTAAATCATAAATTTTTATGGGGATTTTTACCGAGCTTATTTATTTTTCCCTTTCAAATAAAGATTAACAAATAAAGGTAGAAAAGTACGATCAGCTAGAAATGAATTTGATTCATGAAACAACATTTTGCGTTTAAAGAAGGTGCATAACGATACACATTGTATTCATTAAGATTTCGCACGATGAAAGTTAAATTTATTGCATGTATTTTGATATTCTATTGTGTAACGATTCCAGCATCTAAAATTAATTTATTTCATTTCATTTAAGGGTATTGTTTGCAGTCTTCACGAAGGAGATGACTTTGGAAAACTAGCTTTAGTCAACGATGCTCCTAGGTAAGAACCTGGACATTTCACGCAGTCCTACTTCCTTAACATCATGCATAATGCCTCAATTTATGAATCACATTTTCTTGTCTATATGCTCTTCAGTCGAGTATGCATAATACAGGTTACGTATATTAACTACAGATCTGTTAGGTGATAAGATAACAAACATAATACGTTGTAGCCACGCGTAATTATATTTGACTGATTTGTGAAATAACACTTGCAAAATAAAATTCTCAAAGTTAAGGACATGAGAGTTTTATTATTAAATTAATCTTAAAAACATGAGATTATATTTGGAATAAAATACCCTGAAAAAAAATGCAGGTTTCAAATGCAGCGAAGTCGCTCACCATGGATACCTGAGTGCTTGTAATCATGGTCATTTTAAGGAATTTTGGGGCGCTTCCCTCCCGCGAATGTTCGGATGGAGGCCTCCTGACGTGGTCCATTTTAAAATCATACTTTCTGTGATATAGTTATGCTGTTAACTACTACTAATTATTTTATTTTGAAAAAAAAAAAAAAAAGTAAGCATTTGCGTGTAATTTTTTCTCACATTATGAGTTTAAAAAATAGTGCAGTTTTCAATATAGAACACACATTTATAAGGGTAATCAAATTCTTCCTATACTCGGTGTAGCATGTCCGCCGTGAGGGTCTGCAGAAGATGCTTTATCCGACCACAAACTTCCTCAATCTGTACGGGCATCGGTGGAACCTATACTCAGTCTTTAACAAAAATTGAAAAGAAAGAAATTGCATGATGTTAAATCCGGCGAACGGGATGGCCAGGGGAGAAGGTTGTTGTCTCCCGTTGCAATAAGTCCAGTCAAGCGTTGGTGTCGAACGCGATTAAGGAACTCTTGTACGTTCCTGTTAAAATGGGGCGAAGCACCGTCCAATTGCAAAATGTAATCATCATAATTCTTGTTCAGCTAGAGGTAACAACTCGGTTTCCAACATGTCTAGAAATGAGTCGCCGATCACAGTTCCTTGTTCGAAGAAAAGTGAGCCGTCACTTTCTTGCGTGGCACCGCACAGAAAACGTACACGAAACTCGCGCTGCACTGAAACCAAAGATGTGAACACCTCGAAAAACCGGAGAACATAAGAAGCCTTTTCCTATTGCTGCCTCATCTTGGAAACTTTTGCTGCGGCTACGCAGTAAGCCATGACAGGCAAACATAGATAGCACATGAAAAACTTGGACAGTTGCCAATGCTTACGGTGTAGATTTAACTCTGGTAAGGTTAAGTCGATTTATTACTAATTTTTAAAAACATCCCATTAATTTATAAACGACCTGTATATATACTATATATATATATTTATATACTCACCCTTTATCCAGCTGTGTTTGCTCGCAACTTTTTCTCCTATGTTTCTCATTTCAATTTCTCATATGTTGGTAAATTGTGCACTTTTTGCTTTAAAAGTAGTTGAACAATGTATTTCTTATATTCCGGGTAATGTTTTTTACCTTTAGTTAATCTGCATGCAATAGTTATAGAATTATTACCAATTTAAAGTGTAAGTGGCGCCAGGCCTAACTTGGTGATTATTTTTTGACATTTGAAACATCTCTGAATGATTTAAAAAAAAAAAAAAAAAAAGCGGAAAGTGGTACTCGAAATTTATGCAAAAGATATTTACAATCAGATTTAAGCAATGAGTTATTAAACATAATTTTATTAAATATGAAAACAGTAATTTTAATCCAGATTGAGTTTAATATCTAATATAAATACTGAAACAAAGGAAGACAATGCAGAATGTGCACATCATCAAATGCAGTGGTATTAACTAGATACAAGTGAGACAGTTAGAAGGTAAGTTAAAACGAAAGTATATTCTAAGAGAAAAAATCAGTTATGAAGGCTATCAAGAGCAACTCATGTATCAAGAAAATATCAGTGATAAGAATAACTTCAACAGTCTCACAATCTCAGTTTAAACTTCAAGTACAATGAAATCAAAGGTTGCTTAATGAATGTTACTCTGGCATTAGTAGACATTATAAAAACTGAAGGGAAAAAAACTCTACCCACCCTTACGCTTTCTTATCCATATGTTCCGTAATAACGCCCAATTTTGTAAATAAATATCATCATCTGTCTATTTTATTAAGGTAACTCTGATATATGGTCATTATTTATTAACTTTAGTTTATATTATGTAGCATAAACATAAGTGTATCACATGTATGCAAATGACAGATGGATGTTTCGAGCCATTTGATCCGGCTTGTCATTCTCTTCGTTTTCCATTGATGCATGGAATGCATCAAATATCTGTTCGTTTAAGTCAATGTTGTGTTGTTTCAGGGCAGCTACCATCATAACAAGGGAGAACAACTGCCACTTTCTGCGGGTGGATAAAGAAGACTTCAATAATATCATTAGGGTAAGTATGTGTAATTAAATAATATTACTCCCGAATCTGCAAGATGCTATAATAAAGAGCGCAGTGTAGGCAAGTTTTGTTAATGATCTAAATATAAATGAACGCTGCATACCTAAAAATTTACTTGTAACTATCTTTCCATTTTCTTTTAACTTCTTATATTAGACTAGCTAACGCACGTGTTGATAATTAATTACGACATAACTAGTGGTGAGCTATGATATATTAATAAGCGGCTTGCAGTTTATCATATCACGTAAATTTTCCTGCGGAATCAGTATTTAAATTAAACTCGGATTCACCAATGAAGAGAACTCGTACCTTGCATTTAAGGGTTATTAGCGATGCAGAAGACATCATATTTAAGCATTTGTCTCTAGGAGAGGAAAAACGAGTACATTATCTTGCAGGCTTTTGTAAGCTCCAATATTCGTTTCCAGTAGTTGTTTGAGAAGACATGTTTTTTTGCCTTGCAATTGCATGACAAATTTGTCTCACCAGTATAAAGGTACAGCTTCTAAGGATGCGGAAGTAATCTTTGGAAAATACCGACTTTCCAGAAGACAAACGTTTTCAGTGATAAGAAAACGCTTCCGTATACGTGTGAGACATTTTTATCAAAATTATTAAGATTCTGGAGCTTTCTTGCTGCAAGTGACCAGTTCACAGACTAAGAATCATTCGCTCTGGCTAACATTCATCTAAATGATATTTCTGAGTCACATTTAACATCATCTAAATGCTTACTAACCTATAAACTTACTTAGAGCTAGAGTATGTACACGAATCTTAATATTGTTTCAGTCCGTATTCGCTCTTGTTCTTTTATGTGCAAATTCTGGGCATTAATAAAGGCCCATGTAAATGTTTTTTGTTTTTTTGTTTTAGTAATACGAATTAACACGCGTTATTTTTATAGAATTTTAAATTAATAATTGCTGGCTAGATGTCATTTACCAAGTTATACTTAAGTTTTACAAGTTTTGCTACTGTACAATGTAAAATAATATCTTTATTTTGAATTTATCAATTGAATAAGGGAGACAGTACGGAGGTTATCAATCTAAGGGTAAGGATACTTCGTTGAGCAGATTAGTTGGGAAACTGACTTTTTTATTTAAGTTTACTTGCGAAGGAAACGACGAAAGACTAGCCTGATTGTTGGAATTCGAACACTTCACGATTTCTCGATTTTCTGGATTTCGAACACTTCTCGATACTCGATTCCATTTTCGAATTCGAACATTTCTCGATTTCTCGACGGATTTTGCGACAGCTCAATTTAGCATCATCGAAAAAAAGTATTTTATTGTTATTATAGCCCATTAGTTACCGTGCTGTAAAAGACGCTTAATACTCGTAGTTCGGTTCGGGGTTCGAGTCCCGGTGAGAGCGGGCTGACTGCACGTGCGATTTCGTGATTTTCTCCATGTGTAAGGTGGATATGAGCCAAATGTAGTTTAAAAAAGCATTTTCGGTGCATGCCTCCCTTTACGTTTAGTACCTAATGGCGGAGCTCGTAGTAAATAAAATACAATAAAATAAATAATGTAATAACTGTTATTAAAAGTTATTACATTATTTATTTTATTGTATTTTATTTACTACGAGTAAAATATAATAACTGTTAAATAAAAGTAATATAATAACTGTTAAATAAAAGTAATATAATAACTTTATTTAACAGTTATTATATTACTTTTATTTAACAGTTATTATATTATTTATAAAATAATATAATAACTGTTAAAGAAAAGTAATAACTGTTATTATTTTGTCAAAGCATTCAGAAAGCTCGTAATATTGCACAGATATTATTATTTTAGTTTTCTTTGTTATACTGCTAGCATTTTCTGTCAAAAGCATATTTTAGCTCGTCAAAGTTAGAAACTAAAAGAGTCTTCTGCTTTTATTTGTGTTTCTTAAGAATTGATTGTTTTAATTCGCAATAATGAAAATTCTGTGCAATGAAAACTTTACCTTTAAACTGAACTCAAATTGTTTCAAGTATAATTGTGAATGAAATGTATAATATCATTTGTTTCACAATAATATAATTAATAAATTTTGGATCATACAGAACATTTCGGAAGTTACATAACGTTTACTGAAAATCTGGACGGCTACATTCATAGATAAGTGCGATAATTTCATTTTAAAAGATTGCCGTGGGTAATTCTTACTTGAATGAAATTAAGTGTATTTATGAACAATATTGGTTTCCATGTTCCAACGCTCAGTGGTCCTATTAATCAGTTAATGAAATGCTATGTGTATCAGGTTCGTACTGTACGTATAGTAGCCTTCGGTAGCAAATACAGTAAAAAAAAACTCTCTATATTGGTATCAGACACTAAGTCAGACTTTAAGAACAGCCAGTTTTTCTGAGAAAACGATATGTAATGAGGAACGTTCTAATCCATGAATCATCGTCGTTTCTGATCACTCACATCCGCGTAGGATGAATTTACTTTTGATCTGTTTTGCATTTGTTTTTAAGATGATGGCTTTTGTAACCAATTGTGACTGTTTTTGATTTCATTCGAAATAGCAGGATTTTCAGATTATTAATATTCTGATTAATATTCTTGACGTCAGTTTATTACTATTTTTAGTTTATTACTATTAGAAGTTTATTACTCAGTTTATTACTATTAGAAAATTTCTTACATCGTTTAAATGCTGTATATTTGTAAAGTAATTCATTTCTGGTATGTGCAGTGATTCCTCTATTATGCCTTTTTAATAGGATGTTGAAGCCAATACAGTTAGATTAAAGGAGCATGGACAAGATGTTTTATTACTGCAAAAAATTCCTACTGATGGCAGGGCAGCTGATGGTACACATTCTCATTACAAGTGAGTACTAATTTTTATATAATAAAATTATTATATTTAATTATTTAAATGCTATTTTTACATATTATGGTATTTAGGATTAAAATAAATGATGATTTTTAAAAGTTAAATTTACAAGAAAAGTCAAACAAAATGCAAGATGTTTTTCCATGAAATAGATGTAAGGATGCAAATTATACTTTTGAAAAAAATTATCGACAATTTTCAATTTCGGCTATGAACAAAAATAGGATTAAAGTGATAATTTTGAGTTTTATCATTTGAATGGACTCTTTGCAACGATATGTATAATATTTTCCGTCATCACAAACCTGAAAGGTAGCTTACTAATGGCCGAATGGATAAAACCACTGCCCAATGGCTATTCGATTCGGATTCAAATATGTGCGAACGGGCTAATTGCATGTTAATTTCCATGAATTGCTCCATCGGTAACTTGCTCTTAGAATGCATTCCATGGAGCCATTCCTTCCATTAGGCAGATAACTTTAGTGTGGATTTCCGTAATCACATAATCCAAATCTAAAAAAAATGAGAGCTGTTTTCCTCAAGATGTTTAAGTTATCGTTCATCATTTTATCCTTATGCTTTTATCGCTTTTGAATTAGTTTATTTCTCGGTTTTTATACTTTTGAAAAGAATGGTTTTTATTGAAAGCGTATGCGATGTGTGTTAATTTCCCTTTTGCAACTTAATGTCCATAACCGTGTTATAAATTATTTTACAAATCTTGCTGAAATTCTTTGACCAGTTTGAAAACTTGTTCAACGCTTTACTCTCAGTAATCTAAGGCAGCTCACGGTAATCTTAATTGTCTGCGTTATCCGAGAGCAAACTTTTATTTTACTTTGCATTCGGCGTGTACTCCTGCCTTATAATATGTTAAAGGTTTCTTGTTTTAAAGGATTGAAGAGTTGCGAGCTGTTTAATTACTGAGGGGAGAAATAAAAACCATCATTAAAATATTGAGTTTGGACGTATCAGATAAAACCTGTCAAAAAGCAGAGGTTTGTTATTTATTTTTTCAAGCGGAGTTCTAAATTTTTGATACATATTGATTAAAAAAACAATCTTTATTTTTTAACTTTGGCTGTAATTAATATTTGAGTTAACAAGTAGGATAGAAGTATATAAAAATAATTTTTCAGCTTTTTTCACTTCGGCAGAATACTTACTATTTCAACATACTCGAATAATTTTTGGGGATATATTTAAATGTTTACTTTTTTTTGGGGGGGGGACATATTTAAATATTTTTTTGTGTGTGATTCGCATTTCAATTAAACCACAGTAGTTAATAAAGGAATATAATGCAGATTATGTGCAACATAACGTGACCAACATATCATACCTAAAATGTTCTTTTATTACACAACTATTATTTAAGCCATCCAAATGAACACAATATTTTTATAATACTTTTATATTTAATTTTCCAGTATATGATATTGAAGTCATTCAAATCCCACTTGGGCATTTTCAAGCATACTAGTTGTTGAATAATATGTTTGAATGTAAACACACAGGCAAAGTACGTATAATTATTATGTAATTTAACCTATCTTTCCTTCAAATATTTCTTTAAAACTACAGGAGACAGGCAAACATTTGAGCTTTGATTGACAGACTTAGTAATCGCCATTGATCGCCATGACAGATAAGAAAGCAGATGAATAATAGACCACCCATAATCACCAACATATAATGCAAGGATTTGAGAATAAAGATTGCTTATTAGCATAACAGTGCACTGTATATTAGATATAAAAATTATAGAACTGAAAGATTTGTCACGTATCATCTTTGCTTATCATTATATATATTGAAAATAAACAGTCTGCTTCTGCAACAGAATAAATATCGAGTGTCTTGAAATGTTTTGTATACATGGAGCTTTACAGTTCAGTACATTATACAAAGAGCAGTATATATAATGATTATCAGGTCTGCACAGAAATTTTTAATGGAAAATTCTTGTGTATAGATTTAGTTGATATTTCGTATCTTGCGTACAGATTTAGTAGTGAGCTTTTGAATGTTGGTAATATTTGCTATATTTTGAATTTTTCTGTTATAGTAATGTGTCTTTAATTTATTGTAAATGTGTCTAAACAGGTACATGGTTATGGCTGGTACACCTCAGAAGATGTTGGAACATCTCTTAGAAACCAGGATAGATCAAAGAAATGAAGATGCCTCAGGTGAGAATTTTATTTTGCATACGTTCATGAATTTATTATTGAAATTTGTACTTTTATAAATGTGTGCTATGGCATGTATCTTGAAAAATATGGATTAAAAAATCGGATCTATAATGCTTTCGACTAGTGTTAAAAGGATATGAAGTAAAACCAAAAAGGATATGAAGTAAAACCAAAAAGGATATGAGGTGAAACTAAAGTTCCCTCTTCCACGCAAATATGACTTAGCCATCTAACACAAGTGTTTCCAATTGCATATTGACCTATCTCCAGTATGAGCAGTGGGTTGTTTTTAACTAAAATTTTTAAATTGGAAAATTCTTGATTTAAAAAAAAAGCGAATCTTTGAACATTTAAATAATTAATTTTATGAGATTAAGGAAAGGAGTGATTCACAGCTAGAAGTCTTCCATAATAGAAGACATAACAGCCACCTATGAAAAGAGATTTTGAAGACACACAATGTATTTCTTTTGGTACTTGACGTTTATCCTTGTTCACATTTTTTGGAGATAATGTTTTGGCGATAAAACATTACTTATGATATTTTGATAACATTTATATGTTTGTCTATAGATATAACTTCTAGCTTCAACCGGGGCTAATTATGTATGCTACAATCGCTTGTCATTATTAACTGCTTAGCTGCGAATATAGCGAGTGAAATTGATGTATCGAAAGATCAGATGAAAAAACGAAAATGACTGCCACCAAGGGTTGTACTTTTTTACAGATAAAGAACCTAGAGGTAAAAAAAAAAACAGACAACGATTTCCAAAATGTCACTGGATAATTTGTCGCTAAAATATCATAGCTCGAAAAAATTATCGCCAAGAGAATGTGAGCTAGGATAACCGGTAAGATCTTTTTATTTCGCTCCGAATCTCAAAGTTTCATTCGAATTAATGGTTCCCTCCTTAAGACAGTTACCTCAGAAAAAAGTATTATTATAAACCATAAGCGTAAAATAAAATCTGATTATAGAAAATGCAGAAATGAAAGTGCTTGGGATAATCGTAGGGATAACAGATGATATAGTGACTTATAAAGTAGTTCATTCATTTTTAATGATATTTATTTTTCCATAATTTACAGTATGTTTATTTTGTTTCGAATACTGATTTAATTTATGCAGTTCTTAAGATTAAAGTATTTGAAAATATACGAAAATTGACAATTGTATTTTCCTGATAATTATACCGGGGTTGTTTCTCAGTCTTTTTAACTGCATTCAGATTAATTACAAATTTGATTAAATTAGGAACATCGTCGTCCTCCATATTATATGCACGGCGGACCACACAAAGATGTGTGTCCATCAAGGTCGCAGTTTTCAAACTGTTACAAGGTTTGAGGCGACATGCTGTGATATTACAGAAGCGATAAATCGTTCAGTAACGCATCCACTTGGCAATACAAAAGTTACATCTTTTCGACCACTGTTAAGAGATTTTAGCGTTCTGCACTGTGTCTGTCATCAAAGCCTCTCTCAGAGAGGTTGACGGACAAATAATCATTTTGCTCCATGAATATCTTTTCAACTATAACGGACTAACGTAACTAGAACGTAAGACTAGAACGTAAAATACAATCGAAAAAGGCGCGACTAATTCAGTTTGAAGAATGTTTCAAATAGAGCAGCAAGTCAGAATATTCTTAAACTCTCGACTAGAGAGAACTTTATTTGCGATAATTGTTTCTATGCTCTCCAATGTCGTTATGTGTTGTTAACAGAGCTTTTGATAGTTTTATAATAAATGTGTTTTAGTTCTTTATGCAGTAAGTAATACGCAACTCGAGCTAGTTACAAACAAATTAGTCACTAATCCTTACAGGAACTCACCCAATCAGCGCAAACACCTTCACCACTCTACATCGGTTAAAATATTTCCTGGGTCTAAAAGAAGCCTTTTTGGTCCCAAAAAGAGCCTTTACTTAAATTGAGTTTTTGAACTAAGAATCTCCATCCCTGTTTTCTGCTAGTTACTTGTTATCTGATAAATTTTCAAACACGATATTGGATAGAACCGGACGTTGCAATCTGGCAATAATATCGACATTTTCTATGAATTTTTTCCGTCTTTCATTTCTTTTTGAGCAGCAAACTGCACACCTGCGTGTATGTTTTTTTTTTTTTTTTTTTTTCATATTATTCCCAGGAATATATGACGGAAAATGGCGTTCTGTGAAGAGGATTTCTTGCAATAGATCTGGGCGATGAAAGTGCAGGAACATGCTTCTGATGATTTTCAACAATACGCTGAACTAGTTTTAAGCGAAATTCTAAATTGTCAATTTTGACATTATTTTTCTTTTAAGGAGTAATATATTGTTTCGCTATATATAACAAAGTGTTTCAGTATCTTTTTATAGAATGTCTTCTGATATTTCCTGCTCGATGGATAATAGCCTAAGCATTGGTCCGCCAAATCAACACCTCCCATTGTTTAATAACCGCAACAGGTTTTCTAACAATGCTTTGTTTTGATAAGATTTCCTTCATTTGCAGGTTACGTATAGCTTAACAATGCTACTTTTTTCATGTCCATCCATTTAAAAAAACAATATTTTTCCTTTCTGGAAGCGAGATATATCTTCACACGCAAGTGTCTGTGATTTTAATTCATCTGGCATATCTCTCCTGTCTAACTGTCCTATACACATATGTTTCCTATCTCTCGAGATAAATAAAAGTTACCGGCAGCTACTCAGTAACTTATATCAAAAGTTTATCACAAAGAGAAGGACCCTTTTTGTTGCTACCCCGTATATTTTCATGATTTTACAAGTAGCGTCTCCTCCCGTGTAAATTATTATTGTCTAAATATATTCTTTTGAGGATTCGCAAAGCATGAAATACTCGACAACTTGATATCCTGCCCGTTTGGTAAAAATTAATTGTTCCCAACTTAAGCACCCCTTGAATACCATTAGGAATTTATCTATGCCCTTCGTTCTGGGACATAAATTGACCCGAATTTCTCTGTTAATAATTTAAAAACAAACCCGGAGTTTCTTCAGTTAAAGAGGAACATGATAGGAAATGTCCGAATCATTCGAGAAATGACGAAATTTCGTTATAAGACAAAGTCTGGCTTCAAGGCATTAATTTTGTAGAGACATTAGGTATTTTTTGGAAGCAGGCAAGACGAAGAATGAGCAAACGCCTCGCCGGGAATCGAACCATGGGCCTCTGGAATAGCGGCCCAGCGTTCAGAAGCTCTACATCACTAAGGCACGCTAGGAAAGCGAGAGAAATACCTTATATACTCCCCTTTTTAAAGAGCAACTGGGGGTTTTTAGGGGACCCAATCGCCAAATCCTGGGTGTGGAGAATCCTCATCTAACACCCTTTTAGTTCGGGCGCCACTGTAGAGACATTAAGTATTTTTGGCAGCAGGCAAGATGAAAAATGAGCAATCGCCTTCGCCGGGAGTCGAACCACGGGTCTCTGGAATACCGGCCCAGCGTGCAGAACCACTACACCAAAGAAGGCACGCTAGGAAAGAGAGAGAGAAATACCTTATAACTTCATAAAAACTGGAGTTTACAGAAAATGATTTTCTCGACGAACACAATTCCTTGAAATACCCTTCCTTCAAATGATATCAAACTTAAAAAAAAACTTTTATTTCATCTTCATTTATTTCTGTACAAAGTTTTGCTCTTGAAAATGTTCTGAAGGTCGTATTTCTCAAGAAGAGCTCAATTCAACGGTTTGTTTCCTTGGCAATTAAAGCAATTAAATATTTATCAAAAGATAACCCGAAATAGTTTAATGGATCCCCTTTATCAAATATCGGAATTGAGTCCGGGACTTGCAGCAAAAGGGGAACGTAAAGATGGTTGAGATATTTGTTTCTTATCTAGCTTATACCATTTCTGTGCAGTAGCCAACATTTCATCTCCAGATTCACTTTCTGACTGAGATACTGGTTCCTCGATTTGCGAACTCGCGAGTGAAACATTATCTGAGAACATGTTCTGAGTACCAAATATCAAGAAACATTTTCGGAAGAAAATACCTGAGCAGGAAAAGCAAGTTCCGTCTTCTGGTTCAGAGGACAGTATGAGTAATTGAGACATACAGAAACTTTTTGTACGCGTGGTAGCCGTAATAATACTCTTTACCCGCTTGCGCGCGCGCTTATATGAGTTACACGAGCGCGCGCACTGGATCCAAAAGACCCAGTTCTTGTTTTTGAAGAAAATGTTGTGAATATTCAGAAAAAATGTGACATTTATGTCAATAACAAATTTTATGATAAAATTTAAAAAAAAAATATGCAAGTTAAAATTTTTAATTTCTCCAAATGCTTTTAAGAAACAAAATTTCTTAAAGAGATAGAAAATCTAATTATTTATTAGCACAGGAAACAAAAATACTACTTTATCGATACTATTTACTCTAAGTCGATTCTTATTTTCTTTATTAGCGCTATATAGACACAGATAAAAATGCAACAATAAATGTGAGCAGCACATAGAAGAAAGGGTTTCGTGTGCTCCAAATGCAAATACGTTTCACATTCGGTGAAACGCGTTTTCGTTTTTTTGTACTTTTTTGCTGCACAAACGATACATTTTTTATTTACTTTTTTTTTGGTGGGGGTCTTCCGATAATTTTTTCCCTTCAAAAAATTTATGTCTTTCTCACACTCGTTTTTAGAATCTATATCACTGTCTGAATCACAATCATGTGAATTAAAAATTCATGATCACTTCCATCCTCATTTTCTTCAATACATTCTTCGCCAATTGATACCTCTGATAACTTTTGCAATATTTCTTCGTTGTATAATAAATAACGTGACATTTTTGCCGCTTTCTATACTATAACAAATCAACTATGAAATAGTAACACGAATAGGCGCGCTGGGTCTAAAAGACCCAATGGCATCAAAATCAGGACTCCTAATAAAGTCCCAACGAAGAAACTTCGGAAACATAAAGAGGTCGACCTGAAACACGACTACACTGGACCTCAACAACTTGCGTAAAATATGTGCGCTTTGAGAAAGGTCTGTTTAATCGCGCGGGTCCTTTGGACCCAGTGCGTGCACTCGCCGGTTAATTTCCATTTTGAGGTTTTCAACTATAGTGTGGTAGACACAGTAAATATGAATTTATTTTTTGTTTTTTTGAAAATTTAGCAGAACACAGGGACAGGTTTCGAGAACTACTTTTGTTCCGTGTACCACAGTTTGAGAACCCTGGACCTAGGACTTATTTTGGGGGAATTTTGGGTATTAGTTTACTCTTGAGTAATTAATATGTTTGCACATGTGCAGGATATGATCACTCAGGTGTATCACATTTCAGACTGGAATATGTATATGCTTAAAGCATTCATGTTTTATGAATACGTTTTATTAATGTTTTATGAATAAGATAAATACTTTTTCATAAAAGTATTCATCTTATTCATAAAACATTAAATATCTTTAAAGAGAACAAAAACAAAATGTTTGGAAATTTTCAGGGCCATTCTAAAGTGAGGGATCTTTCTAGTGTTTTTTTAGTTCAGCAAATTGAAATCGTCTGTTGTCTTATCATAAAACGCTATTCCGAATAATCGACAAAGAAATTAATTAACATTAACATTGGCTTTCCTTCTCATTGCTAGAGAATAAGCTCAAATCGAAACATATTTAGAATGATAGAATGTCTGCTTTTTAATCGAACATGTATTCAGTGTTACATAATAAAATACAAAATAGTACAGACTGCAAAATGTATTCATAAATGTTTTTATCTTGGCAAAACGTTTCGATTTCTTTTCATTAAGGTAGTAATTTTATCGTACCCCGAAATACTGCGATTCGTTTTGTAAATTTCAGGAAATTTTGTGAGAGTATGTGAATCTAAAATGTTTCAGCGAATTTAAGTTTTTAACTTTTATACTCCTATTTGTTTTTTAATTTTTCATAATTACTTTTCCATATGTAAATAACAAAATTCGAAAATCACTTAATTAGTTTCGTTCAAATCATTTTTATTCCGCTTAATATATAAATATTCTGCTTAAACCATATGTATGAGGATTTTGTTTTTAATATTGGTCGCAAAAGTTTATCATTAATGTTGTTTTTATAACATTGCATTTGCGCTGTCATATAAAGTTTCATTAATCTCTCATATTTAGCTATGAACCTTGTTAAAATGTATTTTACAGCATACGAAATTTAAACGATTTCCCATTACCTTAGCTGTATTGCCGAATATTATGTTTTTATTTTAACAAGCTGAATACATCAGTTAATGAAATACATTTTTTTTTTCTAGATACGTTCCTAGAAGATTTTTTGCTAACTCACGTGATATTTATGCCAAGCCACCAACTTTGTCCCGAGCTTATGAGACAATATCCTTCACACGATATATTTTTTAATGTGTATTATTTGTGTTTTCTTATACTCTTAATCGCATGTAAAATTTCCTGCGGCAATTTTCACTGTAAAATTCAAATTTACAGAATGAAATTGGTAAACAAATCATATTACATTTTAAGTCAACAAAATTTAATTTTCTGTATACTTTTACATGCATCAATTTAATTGCTTATTTTAAGTGCAATAACTTTATTATGTTCTAAATTAAATTTTTTCAGTAATCAGTCTCATATTACTGAGGAATTTATTTCGTGATCTGTACTGATCTTTATTAACATGTTTAAAATATTAGTTTTTCATCAAGATATAGTTTTTATTATACTTAAACTGCAGAATTTTGGTGTTTTTAAACCTAAATTTCAAATAGATTCCTAGTAAAGAAATTAATTTTTATAAAAAGATTGTAATGGGATATTTATTGGTATATTGGTAAAAAAAATTTTTAAAAAAGAACGAAAATAGGGGAAATTAAAGGAATTTTCCAAAAAAATTCAGTAATTACGGTATATTTAATAATATTAAGTAATTAGATAATTATTAACATTAATTACGTATTGATCCTATATGAGATAGCTATATGTGAAAATTTAGAAATGAGCTAAGCAAAATAAAAATTTTTGTTTATCTGCGTTACCTTATTCATTTAAAACAGGGGTTCTTAACATTATTTGGCCCGTCTGGGCAATCTGACAAACAGGAAATGCTGGCGTAAATGAATAATGAATAAAAAAAAAAAAAAAATAAAAAAAAAACTGAAAGTTTCAGATTTTAAATTACGTCCAAAGGGGCGTTTTTTTAACGTTTTGTGTGTTACCTTTATTTATTAAATATCATGTTCTTTGCACTTAAAACATGTAATTCAGTTCAATAGCAATGTCGCTAAATTATTTTAAAATGAGCATATCTTTATAATTTCTGATATACAGTTCCGCGCGCTGGAGATAAAAAGGTTTGTTTTTGCCCCCGTAGATTGTTGCCATTGCTCGCTTTGAAATCCTTGAGTTTGTTAATCAAAAATTCGTTAAAGTTTTACCAAATATGGAATCGATAATAAAACTAATTCCAAATTTCAAATATGGTCTTCCACATGCCCATTCGTAGGAGGATTACGTCATTCAAAATTCGATGGCTCTGTGTACCGTGATATTTATGCCAAGCCACCAACTTTGTCCCGAGCTTTTGAGACAATATCCTTCACACGAGATATTTTTTAATGTGTATTATTTGTGTTTTCTTCACAGATTCCGATACACAGTTCCGCGCGCTGGAGATAAAAAGGTTTGTTTTTGCCCCCGTAGATTGTTGCCATTGCTCGCTTTTGAAATCCTTGAGTTTGTTAATCAAAAATTCGTTAAGTTTACCAATATGGAATCGATATAAAACTATTCCAATTTCAAATATGGTCTTCCACATCCCATTCGAGGAGGATTACGTCATTCAAAATTCGATTGCTCTGTGTACCGTTGTTTTATCACAATACGAGAAATATGCATACATTTATGCAGATTTCACATTATTTTATTTCTTTTCTTTAACTATAACTTTAACTATAACTATAACTATTTAATTTCTTCAAATATAATGCAGGACTCTAACATTTGGCGGCAACAGTTTGAAAAGTGAAATGGACATTTATAGTGATTCAACGCAAAATCGCAAAACGAAAACAATAGTCTTTCAGACACAAAGCTCCTTTGGACTAAAAAGTATAACGATTCTTAATATTTTTTTTATTTTATTGCAATCAAAAGCATTATAAACAATACCCTACATTAAAAAGGTAACAGAAAATCCAAAATAGTTTCATTTAATGCAATTTTGGGGCCACGAGTTGGCCACGGATGATACTAATATAGTATATAGCGGACAGTTGCGGGGCACAAAAATAGTTTCGCCGGCACATTGACGCCCGCGGGCACTGGGTTAAGAACACTTGATTTAAAATATGTGATAGAAAAACGCAATTCTCTTACTCTCAATAAATACGCGTTGGCTGGACTTTCAAATCCTCGAATTAATTATGTTCTGAGTTATTATTCAGAGTCTTGTTATTTAGAGTTCTACTGTATATTAAAAAGTAATCTAAAAATTTGCGAAAAGTGCACATCAAATATTCATGTTGTATCATATTTTCCTTAATTGTCACACTTACAGGATAGATGCCGCTAATTCTAGACAAGAAAAAGAATTTATTGTTGCCAACAAGAAACGTGTCTTACAATTTGTACAGATTTGGGCGAATCTAATCCGTGATGCCTTTTTTGAAGATGCCAGTATTGCCGCCTTTTTGCAGGTATTTTAAAACTTTTAAACTAAGTGAACATTACGAGCAGTAATATTCAGTAATTTCTTTGTTGGTTAGAATTAACGATTGCATATATATGTCTCTCCATAGATGTCTGGAGAGGAAAGCTGTGTTAGCCGATAAATTATATTTCTTCGATTAGGGGTCAGAGATTACCAGTTTAAATAAATTTAAAAAAAATAATAATTTGCATCTTTTTGCATTTTACCGTCACTTTTATATTTAAAATAAAATATGATTGGTTTTTTTTAATGTTTCAATCTCTGTTCATATTTTCCAATGTATAAACTTCGTTCATATCTTGCTGTGAAATTAGTTTACATTATGTTTAATTACTGGATGCAGATATTTTTGAAATATTCCAATAGATGGCGCCACTATATTTAACTGTTTTGAAAGAAATAACAGTATTTCATTGCAATTCGAAGTAATGATTTTAATTAAAGGATACAATTCATTTATAAATTTTTATTTTTCTTTAAAAGCATTTTTCACAAAACCCATATCCGCATTCCAAAGCCCCATTTTTATGTTTTGTTTACTTTCGCACGAAACGTTTTAAATTTGTGTTTTGACACCTGTTAGTCTTGACGGCAGACATTTTATGTGATTGTTATTGATGATATATCACGATTTTTTTCCTTATTGTTGATGATAAATTATGTTTTTCCTTTACGTGAACGATTTTAGCTGAAAACGAATGTGGTCAAATGAATCATTTCGGGGGAAGGAAAAAAATAATATGAAGGAATTTATTTACTCATTAAAGCAGCCGCCGCTTTAATAAATATGAAGGAACTTTCATACTTTTTATTTGTATGCATTTACTTCATATTTTTATGAATGCATTTACTTCATTCTTTTATTTGAATGTATTTACTCATTTAAATCAATTTTACTTTGTTGTATTTCTTCTTTATCCCCTTTCTTTCTTTTTTTTTTCTGATGAAACAAGTTTACTGCAAATAAAAATTCGTAATGTAACCAATAAAAATATGTAGAGTGCCACATACTCAATGTAATCTAAGGTACATTGAGTATGTTAAACTTTGTTTTAAAAACTCGCAGTAAAAATAAATTATTATCTAGGAGCTTCAAGAAGCTGTTGCAGAAGACTGTAAAAAATATGGGTTACATGAAGAACTCTCTGCCATATCTAAAATAATAGAGAAAAAGCAAAAGTACGTGTTACGTTTTTAATGTTCATTTCTTATTTTACTTAAATAGAATTTGGAAAATAGTTTAGAAACTAGAAATTGCCAAAATTTCATATTAATAACTTTGTGAGTTTCTAATTTTAAATAATTTGTTCTATGTAATTTAAATGGAAATTTATTCTGTTTTTCATGCGAACAGAACTTTGTATCGTTTCATAGTAATTATTCCAGGTTTATGTAAGTCACCTGTACTTGATAAAATTCAATTTTGAAATGTATATGCCTTCCAAAGTTTTGCCAATAAGAAAATGTATTTTAGAACGAAAGATTTTATGTTACCTGTTCAAAGAATTGTAGTTTGGAATTTGCCTGTGATTTGTAATTTAAAAAGAAAAGTATTTATAATTGCTTAAATCGTCATTAGATTAAGTTATAAAGAGGAACATACAGTAAATTAATATATTTTTCTTGATTGGCTGATTTTAATCTAATAAAATTAATATATTAAGGTTTACTTATCATGAAAGTTTTGCAGAATTGAAGCGTTAGAGATAAATCCGAAGTTAGGGTTTTTAATTATATTTTCATCTGAAAGTGGCTACAAAAGCCTGACGGAATAAATTTTGTAACTTATATATTACAGTTTCTTCTCATTTTCTTTTCGGTCTTAAACTCATAAAACCTACTGTTAAAATTGCAGGCAATTTATTACTGTTCTCATTTATTTATTTATTTATATTTTAAAGATTCGACGAAGAGGTAATTGGTGTTTGTCGAAGATGGAAAGTCGGTGCTTATGGTCAAATTCGTCTTCTCTTAGCTAGTGAATCTCAAGACGAAGAAAGAACAGAATTCAAACGTTGCATTAAAGCTTCCGATGAAGGTAATTTTTGATAAATCTATGCAGCTCTAATTCATTAACATTTTTATTAAGCGGAAAACCACGCGAAAGCTCTCTTCCTATAATTAGAAATAATTTCCTGAAAGATTTTTCTCTGTTCAGTCACTGAGCCCGAATTTTATCTGTTCTGGGGTTAAAAGTATATCCAACATTTTCTTAATTACCCAGTATATTTCCTTTACTACTCCTTAATTAATATAATATTGCTTTAATATTTAACTATTATTTTACAGTTGTGTTTAGAGTCTATTGTGCGGATCATACGTATACCACTATCAAGACACCAGTCAGCGCCACCGCTGAAGCCATCAAGAGAAGTACGGCCGAAAAATTGGGCTTTAAAGATGACCTTTTGCTTGTCGAAGTCAAGTCGACATCAGGTGATGGTTTTAACTGACCTAAAGAAGTTATTCAAAGGTTTTTTTTGCCTCATATATTTTCATCTTTCTACTAAGAGGTTTTGGTACTTAATTATTAGCCGGTATCTATCTTTGTGCAACTAACATTACCACCCGTGATTTTGCTTTCTTACAAACAATGCGGCAATCCTAGAAACTGTTTTGGTTTCTTCAAGAAAAATTAAGATTTACTTTGGCTACAGGCAAAGGGAAGTTGGTGATGGATGCTTTTAAATTTTTTTCCCCAACATCAGCTTTATATCAGTTTGAAAAAGCGTATATCCGCAATGTGCTTTTTTTTCCGTAACCTTTTTCTGCGGAAAAATCTATAGACAATGTTCGTCCGTCTCCTGTTAATGTTGTAATTTATGTCATCGTTTGCTAGATTTTCTTAGAAATATAGCGAAAGCACTCTATTATTTCCATCTTTGTGATGTTTTGCCAATAAAGCACAAATATTCTAATTCTTACACAATGAAACTGTACATCACGGAAGATGTGAATTTGAAGAGTAACGTTGACGATTGCCGACAAATTATTAAAATAACAACTGAGATGCTAGCCTTCTTTTTAAAGCAGAGTTCATATGAGGACATAGACTTTATCTGATACATAACTTAACAGTACAAAAACTAAAGTCTATACTAAAACATTACGTATTTCTTTTAGAAAGATAGGGACTGTAATTCTCTGAAAGATTTACCATTTGCGGAGCGAATAGACCCGTAGAATTCCACTAATACGTCTTGGAATGAGTGCCAGAAAAAAAATAAAGTACTGTTTAAGCACAAAATTTGTTAAAGAAAACATAAAACAAAAATGCCGCAAAATGAAAACATAAAATTCTGCTATCATAAATGTTAAGAAATCTGAAGAAAAACGCTCAAACAGATTTAGATACAAAAGTTCAAGTTGCAGCATTGATAATACAGTCATTGTTTTGACCGATACGAGCACAACATATGAAGAACTTTTAAAAAAATATCATAAGGTTAAAGAGAAATTTCATATTAGGGCTGTGTGAGGCATTCTGTTTTCTAAAGATTCGGGGAAGAACATTGTCAGAAATAGGACTAACATGAAACGTTTGTAAGCAAAAGTTGTAATATACCCGTATGATATTCTATTAATATTCTAATCCTGATATTCTGGTAAGAACATGCTAATGTCCTAATGAATATTAAAATAAATTAAATATTATTTATATATATAATAAAATGAAAAATATAAATAACAATTTATTGTTTTTTTTTACCCTTGTTTCAGGTTAACGTATTGTAAAGGTATGCATTTGCAGGGTTCTGATATATTTACATACTGTTAGATTAATTGCATTTACATTTTTGACGCACTAATGTTCTCATCGATTAATGTTATCATTCGAGTATTATAATATTCCAAAATAATCGTGGACAAATATCATCAGATTGAGCGATAGCTATTCTTAAGCGTCTCGGCATTTCTTGCAAGGAAATATATCGGACATCCAACGATAATTGCCATGAAATTTTAAGAGGGATCAACCATGTGAACAAAACTGCAAGCGCTTGCAATCTCAGGAAAAGGGGTATAAAGTGAAGCTTGCACCCACAGTATTTGCAGCCATAGATTGAAAACGTATGGTATCTGAATAGTTTTGAGGTATTCTGTCGTCAACAAGTCCAGTCGTACTCGCATTCTGTAGTTTGATGTGAGTATTTTGTTGAACTCATGCCGTTTTTGTACTCAGTGAAACTGTTCTTAAACTGTCTCAAGAGCTTCGCCAGTGTGCCAAATTTTTATTTCTGCACCGTTCTATACTTTTGAGTATTTTCTGTTAATTTTTTTTTTTTTTTTGGGGGGTTTTTTTTTTTTTTTTTTTTTTTTTTTTTTTTTTGTTTCCTACTGTTGTTGGATGAACAATTCCAGTTCAAAGAGATTTTCAGTGCACGTTGGAACCGTTCTCGATTCCAAAACTGTAGACCAGAGGACGGGTATTGCCATCAAAATACTCAGTTCTTGGAAAGCAGAATATTTCAAACATCTACAGCACAGTATCTCGTTTACAAGCAGAGTGATTAATCTCACAACATACGCATAACTCCCAAACGCTCCTTGTAAGCAGTCGAACATGCCTTTGGTCTGTATCATATTATACAAGCATAGTCACAGCTTTACGACAGCACGCCCCTAGTGGATAACTCACATGCTATTATGCTTCGAGTATATGATGCTTACGGAAGAAATATCTAAAACATATAGCAATCAATGCGCTTAAATATAACTCTTTACAACAAAGGTTTTAGTTTCTGTGAAGTTGATTTGTTTCCACTGTCGCTGAGCCCACACCACGTACAGACGTAAAAAGATACTTATCTCGGTGCGGTCTTGGGGTTATTAGTCGTACACCCCCGAACAAGCGTACTATATTGTTGCCTGTCCAACAACTCTAGGTGGACGCAGAGAGGAGAAATCCTACGATAAGCATGTCAGTCGCTAGGTATCCGCTTTATCGTACAAACTGACAAATACATTACGTTTCAGAATAATCGTTTACATTACGTTTATTCTGTAATGTAATTACTCTTACGTATGGCACACGCCTTATAGTCTGTTACTTTAAAATTGGAACTTAAAGGTTATTTTCCACTGCTCGATTTGACTCATAATGACATCATGGACACAATAAGGTCGGAAAAGGTCAACTCGTTTAATTCCCCCTTCCCATTTCCGTTTAACGTCTTTTCCTTCATGAAAAGCACGCCAGTGTAGGCTGATTTGAACTATATCTTCAAATGAGGTGCAGAAAATAAATCCTACGCGGTGAGGTACGACCACGAATTGGGAGAGAGGGCAGTGGCCTTGAAATGTCTATTTTAATGTAACATATTATGAGAGACAGCGGGCGATTTCGAAGTATCACAATTTGATCCTGCTCGTTTCTTTACTTGATCAGCCCTGAAGCTTTCGTAGCAATAATCTTCGGGAGGTCTAATAAATTTCTTAAAAATATTAGTTACGATGCAGTTAATTTGCATCGAAATTTTAGCGTTTTTAAAAATTTTAGTGAAATTTTAGTGTTTTTAACAAAAAATGAAACAATGTGATTAAAAATTTATCGTTATTTTAAAAATTTTAAACATGCAGGGATTGTATTTTGTTATATTATTATGTAATTTTCAGTTTTCTGCAGCATTGCTACTGTTATGCATTTAATTCACGTTATTAAGAAGCACTTCACCTGTTATACTATTTTTTCATAAGGTATTTCTATTATATTGTAGCCTATGTATTTTCTAATTTACGATAATTTATGTTTATAGAGCGTGTTATCTTCAAAGACTCTGAAGTGAGCGTTCCGACCGGATTGAGCGTTAATGGTCGTATTTTCCTGACCCCCGCTGATCAAGTGGATCTACTCGTAAGTTATGAATCAGTCTGATGTAATTTTAATTGGCAGATTGTGCTTTATTTTACGCATTATTAGAAACTGAAATCTGAGAAACTAAAATAATTCCTTTAATAATTTCAGACTCCTTTGCCAGAACAAGATGGACCCACAGATGGAACTGGAGTTATTTTAGAAACTCTAAATTCCTTAGATATAGCTTATAACATGACTATATATGAGTGGGATCTCTTCTCATGTGTCCACGAGGTTAAATTTAGTTTTTGTAGTGTTTAGTTTTTGATGTTGTCACTAGATGGCAGCATCATTAAATTTGTGATTTTATGTGATAATTAATTCGCTATTATTAATATTTCTTATTTACTTATTAAATTTATATTATTTGATATTTTTTTTAATTAGTGATACATTTTTTGCAATACATATGTATACATTTTTTTTATAGTATGAACTTATTTATCAAGTATTTGGACGTCACCAATTTAGGAAAATTATGTCAAACCTAGATGTATTTCTGAGACGATTTAATGAAGTTCAGTTCTGGGTCGTCACTGAAATGACATTGGCAAATACTCTAAGTAGAAGAGTAGCGCTACTTAGAAAATTTATTAAAATTGCAGCACAGTAAGTACCTCTACATGATTACTGTTAATAATGTCACTGTTTAAAAACGTATTTTTGTCTCCAAGAGAAGTGTGTCTTCGACGTTAGCATATTTTACAATTAACAAACATTTATATCCAAACATCGATAAATCAATTTTTTATGTATTGATATATGCATTTTCTCTGGAGTTTAATAAACAGGAAACTAAGTTGCCACTAAGCAGAAAGTCTGCAGTAACTATTTTGAATATTTTTTGAAAAGGTAAAAAAAAACGAGGTGGAAGAGAAAATTGAAATTAAGAAAGGTTATACAAAGAAAAATGATTCAAATTTAATAAGCGATTTCATTAGCCAATAAATGGTAGAATGATAGCAGTAAAGGTATAAAAAGTAACCCCCATAAAAAGCGCAAAGTCCTTCCATGTTGTGAAGTTGTAGATTGAAACTTTACTCGGCATATTATCCTTGTATTATTTTCAACAATATATTTACGAAAACAGCCAAATTGTAGCATATAAAGAGAATTTAATGAATTAGAGAAAATTCCTTTTCTCCCAATGTTTAGCTACGCAAGAACCTTATTAAAGCATTTCTTGATCATTGCGTATTATTAAACACGGTACCAATAATATCTATTCTACATATTTTATATTTTCGAATGTAAGTGGAAAATTAAATTTTGCGACACAAATTCTGACAAAATTGAAAACCCGTGTATAAGGCGAATTTTCTGAATGTGAACTGACACTTATCCTTAGCTCATTTGACAGCTTCAAGTTGGATGACCAGTTATTTGCACTTCTGGAGACATATATATATATATATATATATATATAATATATATATATAAGAGGGTTTGTAGACGATTTTAATTTTTCCCGCTTTGAGACATTGCTATCCCTTAGTACATAATCAACAGAGTGGCGAGTTTTAATTCAGTTTTTAGTTACATTAGTAACCATGTTCAAGCAATCATTAGGTTCTATCTCCGTCTCAACTGCGCTGTATCTTTTGTGACTGAGACGAGATTCTTTATGTTAAACATCCCCCCCCCCAAAAAAAAGGACTGTATATTCTGCGCTAGTTTTAAAAAGAATATCCTTTTGAAGCAATGAACTGATGATGATACAGATTCAACGAGATGGGTGGCAATGATTTAATCTTAAATGACTTACTGTAAAGGTCTAGGAGTCACTTGAGATTGCTACAAAATTAAGTCGTATTCTGATACTAAAAAAGTGATTTAATTTGTATTAGAATTAAATAAAAATAATACTTTTTAAATTACTTGCCTTATATGATTGCTCTGGGATTGATTTTTTGTGAATAATTTTAAATCCATATATAAGCCACTCTCAAACTTACGCAAGAAAAATGCAATGCTTTAAAATATTAATAATAGTAGCAACAACAGCAACACCAAAAAAAAAAAATTTTTTTTTTACTTCTTGAATATACACAAATAAATTTCAAAATAAATAAATTTAAGTCTTCGCAGTGTTTAATGCAGGTATATTATTCCTGTGACTGCGTTAGCTGTCGATAAACCATTTTTTTATTCATGTAAATCGCTGAACTTCCTGCTAGAGAATTCCGTTTTTGATGCTGTGAAACAAATAATACACAGGTATCCGGGGTAGGCTTTGTTTATTCTTTGATGAACCTGAACTTTGTTTATTCTTTGATGAACTGCTGTTGGAATTTAATTTTTTAGTGTACCGAAATTGATAATTACCTGCTGCTTCCGTGTGCATACTTCCAGAGAGGGCGTAATCTTGTTTGCTGATTGATGGTTTAATATTTCTTATCACTTTGATGAACCTATGCATTATGATTCCCCAATGCGGAGATCATAATATAATTACAGACATCTACGAGCATATCATAATGTTGATTTTCTTATTACCGTATTAAAGGAGTTTCATTAATTTTTCTTATAATAAAATAATTAGATACGTTAGTGGAGACCGTAAAAAATGGAATACTTTACCACATTTAAGGGATATTTCGGTACTGTAGTTTGTATTTTACAGTAGAGTCACTAGATAGCAGCACCACTTATGTTGGGATGGCAAAATCGTCTTGGCAGATGATGATGGCAGCACCATGAATTAATATTAGAAAGGAGGAACTTACAACTGAAAAAAAGGAGGAACTTACATTTGATTGCCATCGAAATAGATAGTTTAATTCAAAATATGCGCTAGTTTAAGATTCCTTTTGCTTGGTTTTAAATTATTCGCTGACATGCTTCTCTTCCAATTAAAACATTTATATTACTTTTTTAATCCAGAATTAGATTTTGCGAAATGAAGTTTAAGTCTTAGACTTTTTTAACAAAATGGTTGATATAAAAGGAATTTGTTGTTGAAGTCACTATTTGATGCCAGATATGAATGTTCATTTACTTTACGTTTATTTTCTATGTACATATTCATGTTGGCTGTTTTACTTTATTAGTTGCCGTGAGTACCAAAATATGAACAGCTTCTTTGCCATCGTGATGGGTCTTAGTAACGTGGCCGTGAGTCGGATGAGCCAGACATGGGAGAAACTCCCGAGTAAACTCAAGCGCACATTTGCCGATTTTGAAGCTCTCATCGACCCATCAAGGTTAGTATAATTACATTGCTTTTTCTTCACAAAGAAGTATTAAAGAGAGTTAACTCTCTTTTCTATTGAATTCTAGTCAGGATATAACATTTAACACAAATACAAAACGTACCCAATAAGAATGTGACAAACATAAAAATTTACATCAGAATATTTAGTTAGATCTTTTTCGATGTTTAAATTGCTGCCCAAATTAATTCTTCTTTACCTGTGTTATAAGATTTGTTCCGGTTATAATCGTGCACTTTTTTACGTTTCTTCAGAAATTTAGTACTCGAAGGTGAAATCTTTTGAACCCACTTAAGTTTTTCGGAAAGTTTTTCATACGCATTTGGCGATATTATTTGGCAAGATTCGAGAGTTCCCTTTTTTACGGTTTTATTTCGGTGCCATTATTTCAGTTTCCTTTTTTTCCAGTGACTTTTTTCCTGTCGCCAGCGGTACTTTCACCAATGCTATATATTATGATTTCACCAATGCTGTGTATATAACTTCTAGCTGCTTCATTTTTCTTTTTATTAGTAGCTCTGTTCTGATCAGCGTATGACTATTGTGAGTTTTTTCCTCCAAGAAAAGGCGAAAGTAAAACATGAAAGCTGTATCTTACAGTATGCTTAAGTTACGCTCTTTATACTCATTAAAATGTTTTAATGAGATTTGTCTAAAATTTTGCAAAAAAGAAAATTTATGCTCGAAACTTCTTCAAAATAAATTTTTAAAACTTTTCATAACGTTAAAAAGAGTTGCCCCGTAATTTCTGACGTAACTGTCACTATTTAGTTACGGCCTTCTGGGGTCATTCTACATATTTTTTGTAATCATGTTTTAATAAATAGGTAAATATATGGAAAATGATATGCTCATCTGAACAGATTATATAAAAAACAAAAGCTACACATAAACTAATGTTTGCAAGTAAAGTTTTGTGAAAATAAAAGACGTTTCAAGCATACAATTTCTTTAGCGCATTAATGTTTATATCTGTTAAACTGAATAATGTTTTATGTGATTTATAAAGAATTTCATAGATTATCTAAGCTTGGAGAGAAAAAAAAAAAAAAAAAAAAAAGTTAACATCTTAGTGTCTAAAGGAAGAATGACCTGCCTTGGGTGTGTTATTTTAAAAGCGTGTTTTTGAAATTTTATTATTTTTGTGCTTCCCTCCTAAAAAAGAATAAAGATTTTTATATTTGAAAACCTAATTGATTTTCTTCAAAACCGTTGGTCTGAATATTGAGTTAACCCTGAATTAATATACCAATCTTTAAATGCAAAGTTTTGTTTTTGGCTGTATGGCAAAGTACATTAAAATTTCAAGTTATTAAAATGTTCATGTCTATCAAAGATAACGTTATCGTGTTTCTGTTAAGTAAGTTTTTTCCTGGCTTCCTAATTATATGAAATACAGTATAGGATAACATCGTGCCAACAATTTAGACGTTTGAAGTGTATCTAGAAACTGTGAACACTAAACACCTTATACATCACATTAATATTTAATTTACTGTATTTTAGTTTTGCATCTTTTCGTATTTTTTACCCAATGTTAGTGCTTTTATGTTTTCTTTTCTCAGCTCATCTGTGATTCTGCGAAGTATATCAAATAAAATATTTGGTTGTTGTTATTTTCTTGGCGATAAGTTTCATGAAAGAATGGTTGCCAGAGCCTCAAGGAGGCTGCACTTCTATTTTGACACCAATTTTGAGGGACAGCACCCGGGGGCGTTGTGGTCTGAGAGTCTCCCACCAAACTCCACGAGAGGACTTTCGGCTCGCCATATATTTAGAATACCCTCATGCCTCAAGGACACTATACATTTACAAACACTGAAGCCTTCTTTGGGATTCGAATCTGGGCCCTTCGGTACCGCAAAAGGCTCTCCTAACCACTAAACCGTCTGGGCGGCAATGTAATTGGTACTTTAATTATTATTGTGTTTAAGAGCAAAATGTTAAGATATAATATTGAAAATCAGAAGATTAAATATAAAAAGAGGTTTCAGTGCGTTTTTTGAGTTACAGCCATTAAGCGTTCTTCATCCATTCTTCTTTCAGTCATCATAATAGACGCAAGAATATAGTACTTGCCAGCAAGTTGGCATGATGATATGGTTCTTAAGCTTACCATAGCCTTGAGCTCGAGTTCGAATCTCGAGGAAGGCATGGATGTTTGTAAATTTATATTACCTATGCGGCATGGAGGCATTTAAAATACTACTGAGCGAAAAGCTCAATCGAAAGAGAGGTGAAAGGGGAAGAAGGGTAGAGAGCCTCGGATCTCCATAAGAACTGTACGGAGCTGGAGAGACTTTATGCTGTCTCCTGCAAAATGCTTTCAGTCAGGTCACCAGTAAGCCTTCGCTACCTCTCGATCAACATAGACCTGATTGAACAATCTGCTCAAATTAAAAAGATTCGAAAGAACAATAAATTAAACATCGACTTTATTTATGGAAAGGATTTTGCATGATTTTGGTAGTATGTTAAGAATAAATGACTATGTGTTGTTAGGTGAGATCGTAGAATTTAATAATCTCTTTCAGACTTCTGGAAGAAAGAACTGCAATTTAATTTTTGGTATCTTTATAAACAGTTCCATGGGAAAAAATGAAAGGCAAGATTTTGTAGTAAAACATATTATGTCTCTTTAAAATGAATCGTCATTGCACTTATTTTCTTATAATCATGTAAAGATAATTGCTTAAAATCACTTTATATTTATTCATTTTTCGTATATCAGTTATTAGATTAAGCAGAATGTTTAATAAATATCCAGGTTTGCCTGATGAAAAATGAATAAAAATTTGTCCATACGACGGTTAACCGATAATTATGCATGTATTAAAGAAAAATGTTGCGTTATATGTAGTTCTAACAGAATTTTATATTATTCCAGATCTTTATTAGAATTTGCAATAGATGTTCTTACAAACGAAGTTTTAAACGAAATGGAAAGCTGCAGATTGCTAACTCTGTAAACAAATAAAACACTTAAAATTCTCAGTTAGCATTTAGTGTCACACATATCATAATTGTGCTCATGGTACTTAAAGGCATAGACATAACTTCGTAAACTTCTAGTGCGAAATAATAAAAATTGAAAGATAAAGATACTTATATTCTTTTCGAAAACGAGTTTATGTGCATTATTTAACACTACCTCAACGCAGCACGAAAGCTTGCTTACCACACAGCGCCAAGAGCTTCAAAATGATTTCTTTTTATATGCTTTGGTTGCCGATGCGGGCCACGATTACTTACTGGAACTTTGAATTAAAACTGCTCTATAACAGTAGAATAGCTACCGATTTCTCTAAAATATTCACTATTATCGAATCCACTGCATATCTTCTGGATTCGGTAATCTGTTCAGTCATCAAATGATAATCGTGATTTGTTTGATACTTCATCGCATCCGGCATCTGCATTTGAGAGTTTATATTAGGTATAGTTTAATATTTATTATTTTTAATCCTTCTTGATTAATTAATAAGTTGTGCATTGACTTTTTCTTTCTCTTTTTCAGGAATCACAGGCGATACAGACTGACAGTAGCGAAGATGGTCCCTCCCATCATCCCATTCATGCCCTTGCTCCTGAAGGATATGACCTTCTCGCACGAGGGCAACAAGACCTTCATGGAGGGCCTTCTGAACTTCGAGAAAATGGTGGGTTTCATTTAAACGATGTATGAAATTTGGTTCCGTTTATTACTTTTTTGTGAATCGTTTTAAAATTAAAATTATCACAGCAAATGTGTTATGTATTGAGAATGGTTAAACATCTTACCTTCCTTTTTGTATAGTTTAATGTCATGTTTTTCTTATTTTTGTTTAAGCGTATTCAAGGAAAAAATACAAGTTTTATGCTGTTTAACCGAGGTATTTTATTAGTTTGATTGTACTATTACTTTTACTTTTATCAACTCCCATCTGAATTCAAATTAATTAATGTATGCAAGCGCAGAATTCTTGAGGTTGGAAGAGGACTTTTGTTAGACTAGGTTCGCATTTCATTGTTTATGCCTCCTCGCTACTTGATTTGATTAACAGCTTCAGTTTAAGCAAGCCGCATTTGCTTCACGGATATTTACGGACTGAACCGAAGTTTACTTCGACGCATTTTTAATTCGACTGAAATGTTTATTATATATTTTACAATAATTCGCATTCTAGTAGTGTATTATAGTATAAATCAGCGTTTCCCAACCTTTTTTGGCCAAGGCACACTTGTCGCGGGGAAAACAATCCCGAGGCACACCACCATTAGAAAATGTTAAAAAATTAACTCTGTGCCTATATTGACTATAATAAAGTAATTCTCTTGAATAGAAATCAAATAAGCACAAAGAAAGTATTTTATAATTACTTTATTATGAAATATAAGTAAACAAATAGTGAAAAATTATAAATACTTCAGTGCGAAACCTGGGCCTGTTTGGCTGAACACAAAGCTGATATTCTGGCTGGAATCGAAGAAAGACCACACGTAGCTCTTCGTCAACAGTTCTCAGTCTCTCTCTGTATTTGGTTTTCGTAGCATCATGCTTGAAAAGCTAATCTCACACAGATATGTGTGAAAAAGGGAGCAATGTCAAATAGCTTTGTTTGCCTGAAGGGGAACTCCTTGGCATATCCAACCAAAAACTGTCCAAAGGTAGATCAGCAAATCTTAGCTTGCAACCACGATTTTGTCTCATTTTCAATTAGTTCCTCCTGCTCCTGTAAAGTCATTTCCTTTCCAACAACTGATGCTGAGCTATAAGGGTCCCTAACCCAGTCAAGGCATTCAGTGGAGACTGAAGAGAAATAAAATGACAACTTCTCCTCAAGAGTTTTTAAATGCTTAACTATTATCTCACACAGTGCAGCAGTGTGAACATTTCAAGATTGCCACTTTCCACGGGTTGATGCCAGAGTTGCACGTTTGAACGGAATCCATTTATTTTATCTGTACTTGTAAGCAGTTTTTCATTTCGGCCTTGCATTCGGGTGTTCAATTCATTCAGATGATGAAATATATCTGCCACGTATGCCAGCCTTGCACACCACTCATCACTTGCAAGCTGCTTTGCGTAATCTGACCCCTCATTTGTCAGAAACACTTTACGTTCCTCCCGCAGCTCATACACACGAAAAAGACCTTGCCACGCGACAACCACCGGACCTCCGTATGAAACAGCAAGGTTTTATGCTTTGCTCCCATCTCCTCACACAAAGCTGCAAATATGCGACTTTTCATGGGTCGTGACTTTACAATGTTTACCATGCGCACAACATCATCCAACACATGAACTAAGGCTGATGGTAAAGTCTTGGCTACGAGGGCCTCGCGGTGTAAAAAACAATGCGTAATAATCACATCTGGATTTCTTTCCTTCACTCTGCTTACAAAGCCTTTGGTGTGCCCGACCATGGCTGCAGCTCCATCGGTGCAGACACTTGTGCAGTTTTCCCCACTTAAGTCCTCCTTGTTCAAGGTATTCTGATGTGACCCGAAAAATTTCTTCTCCTGTTGTTTTTTCTGGCAATACCTTGCAAAAAAAGAAGTTTTCTCTAATTGCATCACCATCAACAAAACGCACATTAGCTAAGAGTTGAGCATGTCCACTGATATCAGTAGACTCGTAAAGTTGCAATGCAAATTTCTCACTGATACGGATCTTCTCCAAAACCACACTTTCGATGTCTGCAGACATGTCATTAATACGTCTGGAAATTGTGTTGTTTGAGAGACGGACTTTGGCTATTTCCTTTGCTGCTTCAGGTCCGAGCATCTCCTCTACAATAGCTTTGCAGGCAGGAAGTATTAATGTCTCTGCCACAGTGTGCGACTTTTTTGTCTTGGCTATAAGTTCAGCAACTTGATAGCTAGCTTTAAGAGCTCTTTCATTTACCTTTGTTGTTTTTCTCATAAAAGTTTCCTGTTTCTCCATGTTGTCACGCAGGCGAACAAAATAGTCCCCATTCTTGTTTTGAAGCAAAGGTGTTTTTCGTTTGGAGATGGCGTTTAAGTTTGCTTGGGACCATAGCACTGTTAGCTAGCTTTTCACCACACACCACGCACAGTGGAGTTGGTTTGTGTTCATCTCCAGTGAAAGTAAATCCAACTGAAATATAGCTTTCGCTATATTGCCTTGCGCCAGAGAATTTAACCATCTTTGCTTTCTTTTGACCCCCACTCATACTCGGGCTCTCTCATCTGGCTCCAGATTTTGTTCAGAGTCCAGTTCTTTCCTTTTCAAAAACTTGTCCGTCACTGCAGTATCAGTGTCTCTCTCCTCACAGCAGCCGTTGTCTCTCTGACACTGTGTGAGGCGTCTGCCTGCGTCTCATGGGGGCGGGGGCACGGCGGACACTTGTCAAGATTGGCAGGGGGAGGAGTTATAGCACTGCACAGCGCCGTGACCACCTATGACACTGGCGGGGGGAGTGACGGGAGGAGTTATAGCGGGCGAACAGCACCGTGACACCCAGACCCGGCGGCACACCACGGTGCTTCAGACGGCACACTGGTGTGCCGCGGAACAGCGGTTGGGAACCGCTGGTATAAATGGTGCTGAATGTACTTACTATTCATATGTAATATTAAATCTGATTTCATCTAGTATAAACTAATTTCTTACGAATTTTTACGAATTTTGTGTAAATGTAAAATATTTCATTAGAAGCCTTTAATTGTTTGTATATTTCGTTCTGTATATGGGACGTTTACCTGTTCTTCTTTTGCTTTTATTTCTGATTTCTTTTATTATGTTGTTTATAATTGCTAATATAATTTAATACTTTTATGATCACTTGTAATATCTTCTAATTTTTGTAATTGAAACATTTTCGTTCGGTATTTCAATTATTATCAGTTTCTGTAATAAAAAATAGGTTGTGTTATTAAAATATATATGTTATTTTTTAGCACATGATTGCACAAACGCTGCGGACAATACGGCATTGTAGGAGTCAACCGTTAGGTAAGTAACTGTAACAATAAATAATATCATAATTGAATACCGTTATCTTTTCCCAACATTTTTCCAAATGTTTTGTTGTTGTTACCCATATGGTCACTTGTCTGACGTAGTCAGCCCAAGCACACAAAAGTCCTCGTGGCAAGGAGCGCGAAATTACGCCTGTCGTTGGCAACAACCTTGAGCACATAACAGGTGAGAGTGCGATTTGGCTCAGTTCGGTCCCCAGTATTGATGGAGAGCACCCCGGGGGGGGACGGGTCCAAGGGTCTCCCACCTCTCCCCATTTTTACCAAGCCACACGAGAGAACTTTCGGTTAGTCGCATATTTAAAGTGCCGCCATGCCTCACCGACATTATACATTTACAAACATCCATGCCTTCTCCGAGATTTGAACCCTTCCGCACGGTTGTCAGCGACGCTAACCAATATACCGGTTGGGCGGCATTTATCGAAATGGGTAATATATTTATGCAGCATTGAAATTTACAGTTTCACCGCATTTTTTTTTTAACCTAATAACTTCAAGGGGTAATCGGAAGTTAATACATACTGAAATTTTGGTCGAATTTGTAATAGCAAGTACAAAGCAGACCATATAAACATTGAGCTTCACATATACACTTCACATACGTGGCCGCCGGCAGCATCGAAAAGGGCTCAGGCAAAAGCCGTATCTTTGAGTAGCAAATGGTTAATAATAATCTATATTGTCGAGACACAGAATAATGAAAGCACTTATTTTAACTGTTTCTCGAGATCAGAATTGAGACTTCCGATATGATTTTCATCGTGGCACTGGTTTTAGGTACACCTGGATTACGAAAGTCCGTTTTCGGGATGTATAAACACCACCAGATGATCGTTCGGAATTTTTTCAATCAAATCTAAGTATTCGCCTCTTACTTGGACTATAAAATTAAAACATCGAATTTGTTAATGAATTTCGCTAAGAAAATATCGCGTTTATTGGTAAACTACGATACAAAAACGAAAATATTTCATTTGTTTCATTTGTTGAAAAATAGCTAAGACATGTAGTTTCTCTTTCCATAAGTTTTGTTTTATTTATATCATATATTAAAATTTTTGGCGATGAGAAAATAAAATAGTGCGCGATATTTTCTGATTTTGCCTTGTAATTGTGTTCGTGTATTTATGCATTTGACTATGTGCACATTTTTTTGCATAACGCTTGTTCCTTGTGTTCACTTTCATAATTGTGGTAGAGACTGAATTGTTATCCTTTTATATATTAACTAGCAGAAATAATAATGCAGCCATAATTCTCTAATTGCATGAGATAAATATTGTCTGTTTTTGATAAATGTCTAATAATTTATTTCTGCTTTCAGTACTTGATCCACCACCAGGAAATAAATCTCAGCAAGATGTCAGAAATTATATCAGGTACGTAGCTATATTGCATAACGAAATATGTAGTAGATTATAATATATGTACTAGTAGTATAATATATAGCAGATTAGAATTTTTATCTTAACTCCAGAAATTGAATCATTATTTCACAATTCTTTCCAAATGGGAAATCAAAAATGTAGGAAATTTTATGTTAATTAACGGTTATTTATAATTTCAGCCTTTACTGTAACTTCTCATTTCCGTATTCCATGCTAGAATGCAAATGTGTAGCTAGTATTTAAACTGAGCTTTTGGATTTTAAGACAGAGCGCATTTCTGGCATCGCATGCACTCTAATTTGTTTCGTGCCAGCTCTGATAGTTGTAATTATTCGGGTTTGCCGTCTATCTCTGCCGGCATTTTGACGCACCGATAGCGATAGTGAGCCAGCTTCTAGTATAGTTATTAATTGTATGGTTTTTTAACTACTGTTCAACATTTACTTTAAATTTGGCTGTTCTGTTTAGTTGCATCACCACGATTTGTGGTAATATTGTAGCACAAGAGATTACCTTCGTGTTCTAAATTCTATTTAAATATGCGGGTCATTTTTAACTTTTTCACGACTTTATCGTTGTTTCAGACATAGCGATAATTCTCTTCACGCCTGTTAGAATTATAAGACTAAATAGCATTACCAGATCAAGTATAACCATACAAAAGTACTTTTATAATAAATCGAGTGTGTTCACTTCTTCAGGAGCATAATTATTTTTGCATACGCGTTGATTTCTTCCTGAAAAAATTGACTTTTTAATCTTACGCAATGCACTGGCATGTTTTCGTTTGAAATCGATATCAGACAGAGGCTTCAAAATTCGAAAATGTTTTGTTAAACATCATGGGTCTGGAATTTACACGTCACCAACAGGGCTGTGGTATTCTTTTTTTTTTTTTTTTTTTTTTTTTTTTTTTTTTTTTTTTTTTTTTTTTTTTTGTAATGGATCCATAAGTGAGCCGGAAAAGCGGACAATCTGAATATATATTTGGCTTATTTGAGACCAGTTACGAAGCTCTTGTGTAGTTATGAACTTAATTTCTGACTTTCAGCAATCGTAACTGATTATATTATATTTTGTGTAAGTCAGAGTTACCGAAGTTTGGTTGTATTAAATACGCTATCGTACTATTTCTGAAATAATTTAGAATCTACAAGAAAGCTGAAACAAATATTGATGTGAAGGAAATACTTAGATATATTAACTGTTTTAGAACACTTTCTAGGGAAAAGTATATATCTTTTTTTTAAACAATTTTTAGTGTGCTTTAAAAATTCATATTTTCAGTTATTACTGCTATATAAAAATAAAATGTTGCAACAGTTTGTATTCTGAATGTCTTTCAAGCATTCAGAGGTAACATGTGTTGTGTAGGCTCCACATTCTACAACGCAAAATTCTCTGGTGTAGTTAATACATAAAAGATGATATTAATTGGTACAAAAATAATAATCGCTACAGAACTCGGTGGCTGCGATTTATTTGGAATAAAAAAAATGGAAATAAGAAAGTGATTTTGTTGTTACTGTCTGCCTAGCAGCCAGAGCCTTTCTATATATGTAAAAATAAATGTTCAGAAAGGAACTCTAGCATCTATTGTTTTCCAGTGTCGCTGTCAGGCAGTCAAATCTCTCTTCAGATGTGCATTCAGCACTACACTCCCGTGTGGTGGATTTACATGGGGAAACTTTAATGGTGAGAGAAAACTGAATTAACCACTGAATGCAGATTTTTTGCTTTAGTACCGCTGAATCACTTTCACACCACATATTTTTCCAAAACGATAAAATTTCTTTCAAAAGTTTTATGCACTAAAATTTTTCTAATTTTACTGCATAAAATTTTGTTTAAAGTGATTTAAAAGGAATTAAAAATCAAGTGTTCCCCTTATATTTATTAATTTCTTTAAAAAATTTTACATAATATTTTAAAATACGCATGTTGATGCCATTTTTATTGTACTAGCTTTAGACCCATTCTTTGTTTGAGGGGAAAGAGAGAGTTAGAAAGAAACTTTTTTCCTACGAAACATAAGCGCTAAGAACGCTGATAAAACTACCAAGGAAAAAATCAATAGTTTAAAACTGAGTGAAAAAATAAATTCGCGTTGCTATGAGGTACGTGATGATATATCTTATATTAGAGAAATATATATTATATTCACTTTTTAATCAACAGCAAACAAACCGTTGATTAAAAAGATAAACCTGAGAGTACTGAAGAAAATTTCAATTAACAATAACTGCTAGAGTTCAGTCTTTTTTCCCCAAGTATGTCCACCACACGTGGGGTGGGCTGTAGTGTTCAATGTCTCATTGTAGAGTCATTACGTTATTTTGAAGCCGAAAGACATGAAAAATGTGCAATGCCTTCACCGGGACTCGAATACGCGCCGAGTGTGCTGACATTACGCCACCAAGGCAAGTTAAGAAGACAAGAGGCCTTATATACTTCCCCTTGTAAAGGGCGACTGGCGATTAGGGCACCCAGTCGTGAAATCCTGGTTGTGGAGAATCATCATCCACCACCTTTTTAAATTCGAGCGCCACTGTAAAATCATTAGGTTATTTTGAAGACGGAATATGTTTAAAATGTGCAATGCCCTCGCCGGGACTCGAAGCTCGGACCTCTCGAATACGTGCCGAGTGTGCTGACTTCCGAAGTCATGCTAAGGAGGCGGGAGAAATACCTTATAACATCTGAAAGCAGAATCGACTGTACTTCGCTGCCTGACAAAGGCAATGGGAAACAATAGATGCTAGAGTACTTTTCGGAACACTTATCACCAAACAAACTGTTGATTAAAATTTGAGAGTACTGAAGATAATTTCAGTTTTTGATGTTAGTATAAAATAAAATGAAAATTGTCATGTGTTTTGAAACCTGGTTTTATGGTAATTTTTTGCAACTGCAAAGTAAGAAATTTAGAACCCATTCTACACAGAGATCGAAATATATGCGCAGGCAAAGAGAAACACTGCCATTTTATTATTAAATTAAATAAACCGTGGTACAGTTGCAGTGCAGTGATTTAAAACAAATGAAAACATACGTTACATTCAAATTTCTCACTAGCATTTTCACAGGGCAATCTAACCGCAAATGAATAAAAATTAGGTAGTCCTAAATATCTCAAGATGTGTTTTACGGCAGTGAGTTGTGGTGAGAAAGAAAATGTATCGTGACCTAGGGATGAGACGTATCAAGACCTAAGTTTTGGTAATGTGGATCGTAAAGTAAATACAAACTTTCATATTTATGAGCACTCATTGAGGTTATTAGGTTTAAAGAGTTGATGTGCTGCTAAGTATTGTAAATTAATTTACAACTCCATTCGAACGCTGTATGTAAGCTATGAATGGACACAATTTTTATTCTATTTGATAGAAGTGTTCCATATTTGACATCCAGACCTATATCCGACTTTCTGAACGAAAATCTGTAGTTTGACATTTCTAAATTTTTATCACTATAGTCCCAACGTAGCCGACTTTTTAGCAAGCAAAACTCGCAATTTTGATGTGAAAATGGAGCATTTTGATTGACGTAATGCTAGACACAGCTGTTTCACCAGCGCTAGACTATCAATCGATTACTTTGCAGTTTGGGCTGAATATGTATTATCTCACCAATTTAAGTCGCATTGCGAACAAATGCGGTGCAGCTTCTGACGGCATTAACATGGGGCGTTATCAGGACATTAAGTTCGCGACAGCATGTGTCAATCCCCTTAAAGGACAATCAGCAACTTCCATATCCGCTTTAAAATTCCTCTTTCATGCTGTATTCGGAATGCAATTCCAGAGGCGATGCAGATAATACATGTTATCTATTGACAGAACAATTCCTGTCTAATATAATTTTGAAAGGAGACTCAAATTGCATTTAGCGTTATCACACGAAGAATATAAAACCTAGATCACAGGGACTATTTATCTAGAGTTTGGACTGTATTCATGAACTCTTTCCGTCTATGTTCAGAACATGAAATTAGCTTTCAGCTCCCAATGAAATATTTACAAATTTTGAAACAAATTCAAGTGTTGGATTAATTGGCTACGTTTAAGACGCATAGCGTGATATTATATGCTCAATCATTCAGTAAAAAAAATGTCATGTTAAATAAGTGGATACATTAATATATATAAGGTAAAGTTTAAATACATAGTAAATGCACTGATGATATATATATGTTCATGACTGAGGGCTTTTTCTATATGTCTCCTCAATTCATGTACAACAAGGAAATTTTCATAAATTTCTGAGTGCGTAAATAAATCGATTGAAAAAAAAAAAAAAAAAGGTAATTTTTTTTCTTATTATTTGTAGGGCTTTATTCTTCCTTTTAGCCGAAAGGGCCAATTTGTCTAGAAGGGCTATTAATTTCGTTTTGGCATTTTGCGTTGGTTCACTATAAATGTCGGTTCGCTTCTCAGGTTGTTGCCACCAAATATTAGAGCTCTGCATTATATTTCTGCATGAATGTATGTATCTGCATGAATGTATGAATCTGCATGAATGTATGTATGTTTCTCGCTGTGTGAAAAAACAACGGTACCTAGAGACATCAAATTTTGAATAACTTAGTCCTCCATTCGAATATTTGCATGTGAAAGCCAAAATTTGGAATTTGTTTTATAATCTAGTTTATATTTAGTTAAATATTAAATAATTTTCGATTAAGAAACTCAACGATTTCAAAGCGAGCAATGGCAACACTGTATGGAAAAAGAAAAAAAAAAAAAAAAAAACATTATTTATCTTATTTATCTTCAGCACGCGAGACAGTGTATCAGAAATTTTAAAGATAAATATATATATATATATCTTATCAAAATATTTAAAGATATAAATATATATATATCTTTAAATATTTTGCGATATTGCTGTTGAATTGAATTTTATGGTTTAAGTGTGAAGAACATGATATTTAATAAGTAAAGGTAATACATAAAACGTTAAAAAACGCCCCTTTAGGCGTAATATAAAAT